CTCCCAAACCAGGAGATGAAACCCTCACCACTTCAGCTGTTCCCTGTTTTTCTTCGGTACCAAGTGATGGAAAATCCTTGTCAAAAACAGCTTTCTGAATGCTACTACTGGCATTACTCCCAGAAAGAATGCCATTGCTATTGCTTTGATGACTACTTCCACCAGATTTAGTATCAACTGCAACTCTGCGGGGTATAACCTCACTCTGTTTCCTGGAGACCATTGAATGAGATCGGCGCAATGTATCTCTCTCCATCCTTCCAGAAAAGAGGTTGGCCAATGGGTCAGAACCATCACAATCCCAGTTATCTCCAAAATTTGATCTATCTTTCTCTCTGTCACGGTCTTTGTCACGATGGCTTCTATTGAAACTACTATAGGCATGCTTGGCAGAACCATTTAGAGAACTCCTCCTGGAATTTGATGAGGAAGTCCGTTCAAGAAACAGAGACCGAGCATTATCAAAATCACTACCATTCTTAGAAGACCTATTCCTTGTGTGATGGGCTACAGAAGGAGAATCTACACAACAATGTCACAACAGTTAATACTTTTCCCCTTTTCATTAGTAAAACACATTCATAACATTAAAGCAATTGCAATAGCTTAGAGACAAAAAAGTAATTGACACAATTGCAAGCACATAGAGTCAAAAGACATGAATCGAATTGCAATCATGAAGAGTAAAAAACATTGATGTAATGAAATAATCATCTCTACTAAACCCTGGTGATATCCACTTTTTTCACACGTGGTACACATGCACATGAAGAATGAAGATTCATAAATGTGCAAACATGGCATCTCAAGTTAAATCAAACAAAAGAATTACAAATATACATAATTCAGAAAGAATATCTAAATTACCATTGTGAGTAGACGAGGATGGAAAATGTTGGACTGAACTCCCAGTCCCGGCACTTCCAGTACTTCTCAACCATTCTGGAACTAATGTGGGTTCACTTCTTTCCATAACTACCACTGAACATCATCAGAAATAAAAAATGAATTGGGACAATTCTTCACCAAATCCACCCCCAAGTAACACTATCTATCACTTGTTTGGGTAATGTACAAATCTCATTCTCTACCTCGTACCACTCATCACTCTTCAAAAACTCACCTGACACAAAATATATCAGCACTTCCACAGTGAAATTCAATTCCTCTTCAATCCACTATCCTTCAACAATATGACAACAAAAAAATATCCGTGACTAGTCCAAAACAAGACCATAAGTTGTCTGACAAGAAACCCAAGTCTTAATCAAGATATTGTTGCCAACTGCCTATTTCTCAAAGCTAGGCCTCCATTGTTAATCGGATTTCCACTATAACCCACTCATCAATGTTTCATCCCTCAATACAATTCAAAATACCAACAATTGGGAAAATCAAAACATGACTATGGCAACAATGGCAGAACTCCCGGGCATTGCAAACACATCCATATCGCCAAAATTAAAAAACAAAGCCCTAAAGGGCATATATTCAGTGAGAAAACAAAATAGGAAAATCAGATAAGAAGAACACGCACACGCTCAGGATTAATTGATGGAGTTACAAAATCTCCTCCAGAACCTAGGGTTAGGGAGGAGGGCCCTTTGATTGCGAGAGGAAAAAGGGAAACAAGAAACAAATTAACCCTAGAGGTAAAGCAGTGATTAGGGATGGGAGTGCAACGTCAACCACGACGCTTAAGTGATAACTGCCAAACCTTATCGAATGCGAATATAGAGAAGAATAAAAAAGAAAAGTTGGTTTGGTTTAGGTTTGGAGTTAGAGAATGAATGAGCAAAGTGAAAGAGAATGGGAGATAGAGAGGGAGAGAGTGTCTGAGAGAGATAGGAAATAGGGTTTTGTTTTGTGTAGTGAGATGTGTTTGTGTGAAATTGAGGGAAGGTGAGAGAGACAATGTATAATTTTCTGTTAGTTTTTGATACTCAGAAGCAAAGGTATGGGTTATGAGGATCACTCCCTCTTTTCTTCTTCAGTTTTTATTTAATATAAAAATAAACAACAAAATCAAAATATTTTTTTTCTATTTTTCAGTGTGTTTTGTTTTTGTTAGTTTTTTTTCAGCCTCTCAAATTTTTGATATTCTTACAACTTTATTCAATTTATAAAAAAAATTTAATTAGTTTTTTTTTTTCATATTTGGTACCTTTTAACTTTATTATATTTGAAATGATTTTTTTTTTCCACAGTTGATTATTGACCATAACGACCAGCATGCGTGTCACCCAAGTGTGGCTGTTCACACTTCAAATACAATATTTTTTAATATGATAGGGAAAAAAATATTTCCAATGTATGAAATGATATACCTTTGAGATAATTACATCAATGTGCATCTCTTTTTTCAATTAGGATTAAATTTAATACGTTATTTTTAAAAATTAATTATTAGAAAAATATTTTTTATTAAACTTGATAAATTAATTTTATAAATAAATCAATAATTATAAAGATATAAAAATAGTATTAATTGTTGTTGTTTATTACCTTAAATGTAATAGAAACACCGTTTATCATATTTGACAGAATAATTTACAGTGGAAGAGGAAATTAATGTTAATATTGTGCTTGTATTTCTTATTGGATTTTGAATTAATAAGTGTTGTCAATGTTTTATTACTTTATTTTATATTTAATTGATTTAATATTTATTTTAAACTTAATATAATATTTAACTCTTTGAATGAGAAAAGTTTGGGGGATAGGATGGTAGCGAAATCACTTTTGAAAAGAAAACAAATTTTGTTGATAGTAATATGACAGTGAAGTCTCCCATATCATTCCAAAAAATTTGGGGAGCGAGGTTTCTACACAATATCTATAATAAAATTAATATAATAAATAATATATTTTAAATAAGATTATTAAAATAATTTTTTTCTTAATTTATTTATTAAATTAGACTTATTTTTTATTTATACCAGTAATATTTTTTTTCTTATTTATTGTTTTTTCACATTAAAAACAATAATTTTTATGATTAAATTTTGTATATAAATATTAAACAAATTTAATTAGATAAATAAATTGATAAAAAATTTAGTTATATAATTTTTTTAAATATATTATATATGATATTTGTTAATCAATAGTAACCAAACTTAAAAAAAAATCATTTATTCACCTTTTTTTTACCGTTTTATATCATTACAACAAATATATTTTATTTAATTATATAATATTTTTATATTATAATATTATTATATATTTAATAAATATAAACTTTCAACATAATAATTTTAATATAATTAAAATTAATTTTAACATCAACTTAAAAAATTATAATTTAAATATAATTAATTTTAATACAATAAAAATATATAACTTATTTATAATTATAATAATTCTAACTAAATAGATAATATTTACTTTGTATAATATTTTATTAAAAAATAAAAACTAAAACTTAACATATACCAACCACCTACTTCTTTCCACAAAAAATAAAATAATAATAAATACTTTCTGCTATTGGCAAGAACTCCAAAAACTTCTCAGTAACATTTCTTCTGTATACTTATTCCTTATAAATGTCAATCCAAACACTGTAGATATTTATAAGGGCTTGTGTGCAACATAACTTCATTAAAGTTATGCTAATTCCAAAACCCAATTCACTTCCTTCCACATTGAAATTTAGGTTACAGAATAGAAGATAGGGTTTATATACGACTTTCCTTTTGTGTTATTTTCCCGTGTTTATCTTTTACATGAGTTTTAATAAATTCACACTCGCATTTATTCTTTTACATTTAAATAAGATTTTAAGAAAATTTAAATATATTAAATTTGTCTTTTTATTATAATTGATTAATTTCTAAATAAAAAAAAATTACCAGATTTTTTGTAGGTTAAATGTTTCAATTATTTAATATTAAGTGATATGTTTTTTAGACTTTTAAGAAAGTTTCAGTTGACCTTGACAAATTTTTTCTTTTGACTAACACCGGTTAATTTTTTGTTTTGTTTCCATAATTAACTTATGAAAAAAAGATCTTAATAAATTTTGGATAAAAAATAGTATTGGTGATGATTATTGAAAAACAATCATAATGGACATTTACAACAAACTTAAACAAAAATAAGATTGACGTTGACCCAAGAATGTTATATCTACAATTACGAACAAATCTTAATTTATATATTGATAAATAATTCTGACTTATATTAATAAATAAATAATTTCAATAATATATTAACAGAAAAATAAAAATCATATTTTTGACTAATAAATAGTCGAACAAATTGAGCAGAAACATGTTTGATCAACAAACAAGCTAGCAAGTGACGAAAAATATTGGTGTAAACAAGAAACAAAAATTCAATGTTGGATATAAATGCAATGTTTTATTCACCTAAACGGTTGATTGTAACGTTGACATATTTTTCGGTTGTTTTGACAATGATCATCAGATTCATGGGAAGTTGATGCAATCCACGTCGAATTTCTCATGTCTATTCAATACTCTAGTTTTGATTAAATAGTTTTGGGATCGTGAGTCTAATCATATCCTGTGATGTTTTTGTAAGTTCATAATTTTATTAATATATTAATAATTATGTGTTTTAGAAAATTAATATTGTTTTTAATTTACATGCAACAATTTAAGGTGCAGGAATGAATTTAGAATGTGTGAGGATCTAAGGCGGCCAGACAAAATGAGAAACATTGATAAACACTTTACAAAGGCGAAAAGCAAGTCGAGTTGGACAATCCGAGTCACGGGTATGTGATCCATGTGGCACCGCGTTTTATGTCCCTTTTTACATGAGCGTTTACCAGCTCTTATCCTATGCGACCTTTCTTTCTCTCACTTTCCCATAATTCGTTATTTTCTTTTCTTCAACCTCCTTCTCCGCCACTTAGAAAAGCTAAACACACTAAACACCGCGTTTCCCCTGTCCGACGCCGTTTTAGATGGAATTGGCCAGCCATGAATCACCTACCTCGACTATTCGGCCATAGAAAGAAACCCCCAAACATGGACCCGAAGAAGAGCAAGACTCGAGGCAAGAAGCAGCAGCCCAAGCTCGAGCGCCGCAACGCCGCCAAGCACTTTGAATACGACGCCGGACCGTCGTCGTCCTCCTCTTCCTCGACGTCGTTGTCGTCGGTCTACTCGCGCACCATGGAGTTTTACGACCGCACGAGCTTCCGAATCGAGGGTGTAGAGGGCGAGCTCGACCGGATTTGCCGCAGCCTCGGCCTCTCCGGTCCGGATGACTTTTCCATTCCGGCCTCTGCGTGGGCGGCTATGAAGCTCCATTCCTCCTCTGACAGCCTGGCTGGACGGAGCCACGAGGGTAAGGCGTTCGACGAGGAGGCGAAGGAGGAGGAGGAAATTGAAGCGGTGGACAGCGAGGATCGGGCTAGGGTTTTGGACGAGTGTGTTGTTCCTGCTGAGGGTAGTGGTTGCTGTGCCTCCGGAATTAAGGGTTTTCGGCCTCCGATGTTGAAGCCACCTCCGGGGGTTAGGGTTTCGGTGGTGGATGAAACGTGTTCCACGTGGGATTTGTTGCAGGATTTTGCGCCGAAAGGGGAGGAAGGGAAGGAGACTTACGTGGAGTCGAGTTTGTCTTCTGACGATGAACATGAGGACCGAGAAGAAAAGGAAGAGGAGGATGAGGAAGAAGGGGAAGTTGGGGGAGTGAGGGTGGAAAGAGAAAAGGAGGAAAACGCGGCAAGGATTGCGGAGATTGTGGATGAGTTTTCTGGGTTTTCTACTTCGAACGAAGATGATTCTTCTAGCACTACCACGGGCCCTAGTTCTAGTAACATATCTCCCAATGGGAGAATCAAGCGTGTTATTACCGCGGGTAACTGGCAGAAGGGAGACCTTCTGGGGCGTGGTACGTTTGGCACTGTCTATGAAGGGATTTCTGAGTAAGTGCTTTCGCACCCTCCATTTCGCTTGCCCTTATAGAAAGGAAAAGTAAGCCTTTTTGTTTTATTTTTTTTAATTTTTGAGTGTGTGTTAATAGGAATTCAGATGCTGTGGTAGAAAGTAACATTACAATGTTGTGTTAAGATTAAGAGAAACAATTATAGTAGGCCCAAAATAGTTTTAGGGATTGAGTTCATCTATTTATTCCTCTCTCTCTTACTCAAATCCTTATAGGAGACGATGTTATGGAATGTTAGTTTTAGAATTAGAAGATTGAGAAGGTTTTAGAACTACTGGATCGGTTTGGACATGAGAATATGCCGGAAAAGTATCCACGCATCTATGAATGTCAATTTATCAGTCTAACGAAAGAGGATGCATAAATAATTTTTGTTCATGTTTTACTAACAGCTATTGTTTCCTATTCTGTTTTCAACATAAGTGGGTAGATAGAGTAGGAAACGGAATGAGCCTGTTTATTTCGATTGGCCAATGTTAATAATCGGTTTCAGTTTGTCTACTGAAGCATAGCTGCGGTTGTTGGGGAAATATCTCACTCGTTAAATAATATGGTCAATCATTTTCTTTCTTTCAAAACAGTGTCAATTTTTGACAGTGAAGGAGTGATGGGTTTTATTGAGATGACACGAGCGATTTCTACTGTTTTGCTGAATGATTTCTACTCATTAATATTTAGGAATTATGACCAAGCTATCTAAGGACACTAAATAAATTAAGGAAATAAAGAAACATGCAAATCGAATCAGGATAATATCTCAACATATACTAACAGAACTTTTGAACCCTTTTGTACTTTTGGACAACAATCTACTGAAAAAGGCTTCAATTAGTGCATTCCTATGTTGCATGTGTTGGCTCATGCCTTTACACCCTGGGATGTTGATTTTTGTACAACATGGAAATCATAGTTTTGAATGGCACTATCTTACTATTTGCATAAACTTTTTCTTTTGCCAAATATTCTAGATTCTTTGTTTGGTGTTTTATATGGTTTAGGTTTTTCTCTAATATGGGGCCCCTAGTGGGGCTTTCATAAACTGTTATAACTCTTCGATGCTAAAATATATTTATTCTGTTGCTCTTGTTGATTTGGAAATGCATGTGAACATTATACTAATAATCTTTTGTTCCCTCTCATAGAATGGTGAAATTAAGTTCATTGGGCCCCTTGGTTAAATTATCATCTACCATCTTCTATATATCTTGTATTCAAAATGCTTCATCTTATGGATTTGTTTCTCTACAAAGCCCCTGGACCAAAAACTCTAAATAAATTGAAGTTAGTAGTGTTTTGATATTTGAGCCTTTTACGGTGTTTTTTACAAGTTACTTGAGTGTTAACTGTCAGTGCTTTCCTTTTGTTAATTTTTTTATATCTTCTGATTTCCACTGTAGAGATGGATTCTTTTTTGCTGTAAAACAAGTTTCACTACTTGATCAAGGGAATCAGGCAAGACAAAGTGTATATCAACTGGAACAGGTGAGATGGGATTACTCTTTCCATTGCTTGTAGTTTCTTCATATTTCAGGGGATGTGGTTTGAGAAAAATGTATCTTATTTTCGTTTGTTTCTTTCACTTTTAATTACAAAAGTAACTACTTGTTTTCATTTCTTCTTTCCCAATGTTTGTTTAGGAAAGTGAAAACATTTATTGTTATCTGTTTCCACAGTTTCCTGTACAAATTTTGGAAACAGGAAAGAACATGAAAACATCAAACTTTTTTTTTGAATCAAGTGGCCCCAAAATCATTTTACATTAATGAAAATTCTTTGATGAAAAGAAAATGGTTCTTTTACCCAAATATAGTGCTATCTTTTTGCAGTATGTACACTATATTTTGAAAGTTGATTAACTGTATCAGTTTATTTACCTTATCCTTGATATTTTCCCTCTAGATTTATTTATCTACTTCTGTGTTCCTCTCAGGAAATTGCACTTTTGAGTCAATTTGAACACGAGAATATAGTTCAATACTTTGGCACTGAAATGGTACTTTTCTTGTCCTTGCCTTTGTGTCAGTTTGATATTTTCTTGTCAAGTATCATTGTTGAATATATGCTGATAGTTTCCGTCACAACTTGTATTAAATGTTTAACATACAGGAAAATTTTACTGGTTGCTTTCAGTATGGTGTACAAATTATAGTTTAAGTCAGGACTAGAATATATGTTTGACAGTTCCTACCCGTCTGAATGAAAAATGAGTATTTGCATGAAATTTTAAATTTAAATGATGTCATTGTAGGCCATAAAATGTCGACCGAGGATCCAAAACTGTGATGACTAAGAATGGGTTTGTTTAGAGGAAAATTTTGCATAAACACTTTTAGTAGGGGAGAAAAATGAGAAGAAAAATGGAAATTAGCTTATCCATAAGCTAAAATTAGATTCTGCATGAGTTAAAAATCAGATTTTGGATAAGTTAATAGGAAATGACTTTTACAAATTAGCTCATGTATAAGCTAATTTTATCTTATAGATGTGTAGTTAAACTGATTTCATTTTTCCTTATTTTTCTCTTCTGAAAGTGCTTATGGAGAAATTTTTCCAAACAGACCTAATATAAAAAATCAGACCACCTGAAAGTTAGGAATTAAATCATATTTGTAATGTTATGGACTTTTCTAATGATAAAATTAAGATCATTGTAGGCTTGTTATTTTGGGTAATGAGGTTTATCATCTTTATATTTGCATCCAACTGAGTAGAGCATATAATTTAAAGTCAGATAACTTTTCTTTCATTTGATTCAACTACCAGGGGTTGTGGGCCTTTGTGCAAGTGCAATACAAAGTGACAAATAACTGAACTTTATGTGCAGTTTGGGGTATTAGATTTCAATTTATTTATTTTATATAAAAAAATTGGAACCAACATTAAGTTTTTTGTTGCATTTCAAAACTTTGGATACTGTGAGATCCCATCAATTATTTTCATTAATTATGCTGCAACATTTTGGCTGTAGTCAGATTTTGTCATCTATAATCAAGTTTAGCTATTTGTTTTGTAAGGCTTGTAATTTCTTTCTGTAATGTAGTTTAACCGATGCCTTGTAACATCTGTATTTTGTGCTTTACACTCTGCATGTTGTTTATTGCAGGATGAGTCAAATTTGTATATCTTTATTGAGTTTGTAACTAAAGGTTCCCTTAGAAACCTCTACCAGAGATATAATCTTCGAGATTCTCAAGTATCTGCATATACAAGGCAGATTTTGCATGGTTTAAAGTATCTCCATGATCGAAATATTGTTCACAGGTGACCAATTTATTTAATTTTGCTTTCCTCTATGATATAGACATCTGCTTCTATGATAGTCTCAGACAAGAATGATGTTTATGGCTCTTTTTTACCTTGCATAGGAAAAACTTTCATTTGCTGTCATATAATTGCTATATAAATATTCAAAATGACTTATGTTGTATTTGTGTTTCTTTTCTTGTTTTTTTAGACTCTTGTACTAGCGTAGATATCTTGTTATTAGCACATGTTTATCACGTGATAAGGTCATGCAGAAATTTCACTTGAGAGGATCAGTTCCCTGTTAGTATTTTGAATGGGTCCATATATTGGGTAATAGAGTAGACTAGAGAGGAGTGGAAAGAAAAGTATACAAGGGAGAAATTGATTTCTTTCCCAATTACATCATTGCTATCATTTTCTTACCTCAAATAAACACCGTTTAATGCATGTATGTATCCTGATATTTCTATTGTGGAGGTGCTTTTAATGTTTTCTCAATTATTTATTACATCAGAATTGTTGGATGTAAATTTTCTAAAAATGTAAAATCATTTTCTTTGATATTGGACCAGGTTAAGGTTGAGAGGTTGAATGATTCATTAAATCCACACATTTCTTGCCTTTCTATTTCTTTTCTTTAAGTTCAATTCTCATCTGAACAAAGTGACCAAGTCACATGAAGGTTTGGGGTTGGAAATTTTATTGGCTAGTATTTTCTTTTTTGGGACTTGTGCAGTATGCTCATAATTTCTCTAACATTGTTTTCTGTATTTTTGTTTCATTAATGTAATGTCATGAAAAAATCTTTGTATATATCACCTAATTATTTCTTGTCAATTATAGGGATATTAAATGTGCAAATATATTGGTGGATGCAAATGGATCTGTTAAGCTTTCAGATTTTGGATTGGCAAAGGTGACTCTTAGTTTATGCCATTCTTTTGTTCCTGTCAAACTTGTATTTCTGAACAATCTTCATTTGTTTATCTTTCCATTTTCTAGCATTGCCTTATTCTTATTGTTTTTTCAGGCAATCAAATTCAATGATGTCAAATCATGCAAGGGAACAGCATTCTGGATGGCCCCAGAGGTTTGCCTTCAATATTCTCTTCTCATTAAAGTTATTGAAAAATAGGCATGGGCCAGCATATGTATTAATGAAGTGTAGACATGGTTGTTTGTAATTAATAAACAAAAGTGATTTGTCATACACCTACCAAAAGTGGCATGCTTGCTTGGTCATTTGTGAAGTTATTCAGCACCCTGCTTAGAATAGAAGGTTATTATTGATTCATATGGAAACCCTGCCATACAAAATTGATTATGAAGCACTGTGTTATGTTATACTTTTTGAATAGGGTAATTTGACAAGCTGAAACAATGAAACTTTTGAGTGTTGCATGGACATCAAGTTGTAATATAATAATGGGATCCAACCTGGGATCAGAGAAATGGACCTAAAGTTTGGAGGGTCTTCAGTCGGGGAGATAAAAAGAAATGAATTAGGAAGGGAACAGATGAATTTTTGTTTTATGTTTTCCTTTTGTTCTGCATCATTGTTAGTAAGGAAAAGGGTAGTGGTTATGGAGGGGAGGTGTGAAAGGAGAGGGCACCTTTTGGTATTCTCATTGTTTTTCTCTTTTAGGATAGGCTTTGAACAGAGGTTTTCTTCTCGTTGGAAAACTTGCTCTATGAGGAAAGGCTATAGTCTTTCTATAATTCTCTCTTATTTATTTCTCTTTGTTCAATAATACAAGTTACATATTCTGTCCATGGTTAATTGGTATGACTTGCCAATGTCCAGAAGTTCATCCTCAAGACAGGGCTTCCTTTATGACGGATGACAATCCGACACTTGTGCATTGGGGAAGTGGGCCTAAGGTTTGGAGAGTCTACTCTAGGGGAAATAAGATAGTAAATTAATTTGGCAGGGAGCGCATGACTTATTCTGTTATTTTTTTTTTCTTGTTTGATTATTATCAAAGGGTGGGAGTTATTAAGAGGTATGGTAGGAGAGTACCTCTTGCCATTCTCATTGTTTTTATCTTTTGCCTTATGTTTGGACCGAGAGTTCCTTCTCTACTATTTCTCTATTTTTCCTGAATACAATTTATATGTTTCTGATCCTTGGTTTCCATTATAGTACAATGTTCTCTGCATCGTAGCAAAGCAGAAATTGATAATCATCAAGTTTCTGGAGTATTGGTCCATCTTCTAGGTCAGCCTAAATTATTGGCACTGAAACTGAACACCTTTTCCCTTTTCCATTTTCACCACAAATCTTGATCAATGTAATAAATTGGCGGATATTAGTAGTGATGGTGGTGTGCAACTTGGATTTAGTTTACGTGTGTGAGTTGTTCAAATATATATAGAGATCAGAATCAAATCCCTTAAGTTTTGGGATTGAAATCAGCTGACAGCGTAAATTTTTGAAAGAAACTATGGAAACAGATGAAAGAATAAAATGAAAAAAATGACAACATAACAGGTAATTACAATTACACAATCAACTATAGTTAGTTATGCCTGTTTTCAATAATTCATTACTGCTTCATGAATTGAAAGTAAACCCCTTTGCCTTTGAAACTAGAAACTTTACCCTTGTAGTTGGATGGAAATTTTAAGAGAATACTTCATTTCTTATTGAATTTAAAATGTGTTGTTTGGATGAGAAATATAGAATGAAATTGAACTTTTAGAAATTTATAAAAATATTGATTACTTGAAATGGTAGAATTTCAAATTCCACAAAAAAGTAATAGAAGCAAAGAAACTTTGCAATCACAAAAAAATGCATCTTTTTGGATGTATATTCTGATTTCTTAATGGCATAGCTAGAGTTTAGTAAGCTGTGCTGCTCTAACATGCAGGTTGTAAAAGGGAAACAAAAAGGTTATGGGCTTCCAGCTGATATATGGAGTCTGGGATGTACTGTGTTAGAGATGTTAACGGGCCAAATTCCGTACTCTCACTTAGAATGTGTAAGTATTATTACTACTTTCATCATCACGATTTCCAGTATAATCCAACTATGTTTCTTCATTTTACCACGTGTTGCCTCATTTGTCAAGGCATCATCAGTTCTCGCAATTTTTCAGATGTTAATTCCAACTAGTTCTCTCTCTAAATGGGAGGATATTTTTTTTAGTACGTAGAATAAATATTTGACCATTAGATCTTTTCTTGAACAGTCAAGATTAAAATACACAGTAATTCACTTTTCAAAAAGTCATTTTGTTGAGCAACCATATAAATTTTAATTTTTTATATCTTGATTACTTATGTATTGCTGTATATCTTAAATTTGTTTCTCACTCTCAACATAAAAATTACTTTCTCATTGAATACATCCTGTATATATGTGTGCGATTGTCATTGCATTTCTGCTGGTTATGACTTTTTTTGATGAATCTCTCCGGACAACAGATGCAGGCATTGTTTAGAATTGGAAGAGGTGAGCCCCCTCTTGTGCCAGATGCCCTTTCAAATGATGCACGGGATTTTATCCGGCAGTGTCTTAAAGTTAATCCAGACGAACGTCCCAGTGCTGCTAAACTCTTAAGTCATACCTTTGTCCAGAGGCCACTACTTTCCCAGTCCTCTGGTTCTGCATCTCCTTATACTCGAAGGGGTTAAACCTGTCTCCTCCAACTATGAAACATACTGAAGGTACATATTGTTACATAACGTACTGCCTCATCTTTTTCCATGTTTATCTTATTTTATCATGATATCTGAAATCATATTGAAAACTATGGTCTTGGCTGTCTATCCCTTCACTAATGCCCATGCCCTGTTTGGTAGAGAAGAGAGAAATGAAGTGAATGAAAATAAAAATGATAAGTGAAACTAGGTAGAAATAAAGTGAAACTTACAAGTGGTTGGTTAAAAGAAATAGAGAAGAAATGATGACAGAGAGAGATAAGTGGAAATAGGTAAAAATAAAGTGAAAAAGAACTGGTGGGACCCACTCATTCTTAATTCTCTCTTTTCTCTATTTCTTCTCTACAAAACAATCTCAATTAAATTCATCCTTTCTATTTTCACTCTCACTCCAACCAAACAGACCGTAAGTTTCATTCATGACAATGAGACGATTTAAAATGTTTTTTAGTTGGATTGGATGCAAATATCATTCACAAGCCTTCGGTTACGTTGGGTGGGGTTCAAATATAGGGTCATTCTGATATGATGGGTCAAAAGAGTCCCAAAAGAAAGAAAAATTAAGTGGCTTAAAGATTTTATAGGATTTTTTGGAATATTAAAAATAATAATCATAATATTTATTTAGTTTATATTTTTATTCCGTGAAGTAAGGTTGTGATACTTGTAGGTGATCATTTAGTTGTCGGTATAGTTTAGGCTATATGAGTGTATTCCTTCCTACCTATGAGAAATATCAATGTTTATGTTTATCATTTTTATAGCTTTAAAGGTAGTACATTTTAGGTAGTTTACAGTAGCTAAGTTATTTGCTTTTGTCAATAGGTGCTTTCATCCAGCTTACTCCACCTCCCACCTCCTATGTACTTACACCATCCATATTACGGGTGGCCTCCACAACCACAACCACTATTGACACAGTGCCCACAGCCACCAGCGCGGCCATAACTACCACCACCATCACAAACTCCAGTAGATGTACACATCCAAACCAAAATTTATTCTATCCACCACAACCATCTCCTCCCACCATGTATTTCAACCATCTTAACCAACATTTACACTACCCTCCACCATGACCATCATCGCACAGTACAGATCCACATGACCCATCTCACCACTTTCAACTACCAGTACCACTCTTCATAATCTCCTTCCCCTCACTACAGTCACCACCTCCTCCTCTGATGGAAGCTTATGCTCACCATCCTGTACTGTCATCAATACAGTGGCCACCACCGCTGTCATTTCCCCCACCAATCCCCATGGTCCTCCTCTCAGTCCACCCTTTCCAGACCCCTTACCACTTCACTGCAGTTGCCACCGCTGCAGTGGCAGTCACAACCAACAAGTTTCCCTATGTAGCAAATGGGTTCTCCCCTACTCCATCGGACTCTCAACAATGGGTTTCAGACCCATATGCTCTAATCCTCGCTTCCCTTTCATGATTATCCATCTGTTTCTGTTCCAACCATCTACCACAACACCCATTTTGCAGTACCTTCCACAATTCATACCCTGGCTTATATAAATCTCACGGAAAAAAAGGTTAGTTGAAAAGCTCTAAGAGAAACAAAGTTGATGGGTAGCAAAGATTTCACTGGAATCCACACAACTCGTGAAGAAAGCACAAGCCGTGAAGCACCAGCTGCTAGCAAAGCCGACTTTGATGGTATGGAAGTGGCAGAATACCGTGAGGATAGCTTCCCCGATAGTTGCCCCGTACACTGCACATCCCAAAACCACCGACACTGCACATACCTAGCAAAGCCGACTTTGATGGCATGGTTGTGGCCACCGATAGTTCCCAATACCTTACCGCTTCTTTCATTTCCCAAAACCACCCACACTGCACATCCCAAAATTTTATAAACCCCTTCAAACATATCCCAGCCACACAATTGTCACATGTCCTTTATCACCCAATCATCTTCTCTTATCCCTCAGTCCAAATCGTTGGATGAAACATATTTTTTTACCGTTCAATCTACACCTTTAGCAAAAGTCAGAATATGTGTGCTTAACCAACATTGTCCCTGCTCACCTCACACTGATGGATGAAAAAATGGGATAGGACATACTAGTCTACAATATGGATGGGTTATAAACCTTTGTCCATTCAGCCAATGAACAGGTTGTTAAGCTAGCAAGTCAATCTGTCAATATTTTTTTATATTTTTATGTATAAATTTTATATATATATAATTTGTTAAAAGTACACCTCTAATTATATGAATATTTTTTAAATTTTTATTCATTCATTAATATTTTTATTAAAAAATTTTATATTTATGTATTAAAATATTAATTATAATTAATAAGTTAAATGTAATTGCTTAGTATTTATGATTAAATTATAATATTATAATATATTTATATATTTATATATTCCAATAATATAATATAAAAAATAAATATTTTTAATTATAATTATTTTATTTTTATTTTTATTTTAATATATATTTTTTAAAGGGGGATAAGTCCGGCTGGCATAGCTTGTTTTATCATCACTAATCGCACTACATTTTTCCAACCACAATTATTGGACCCAAATCCTCACACCTATTATCACGGGCTACTTCATGCATTGTTAAGGACCTTGAGGACATGGTCCAATGTGAACGGGTGGGTAATGATAGGATGGGCCCAAAGAGGTCCAAAAGTCTTAGAATATTAAAAATAATATTTATAATATTGTTTAGTTTATATTTTTATTCCCTAAAGTAAGATGATACGCTTGTGCGGTCATCATTCAGTTGTTGGTATATTTTAGGTTATAAAAGTGTATTCCTTCCTACCTCTTATCATCAATAAGAAATATCGCTGTATATGTTTATAACTTTTATGGTAGATTTTAGGTATCTTCATCAATAAGAAGTAGTTGTTTGCTTCTTATCTCATTCTAATTGGGAAACAAATTTTCATTCAAATAATTAATTTGTGAAATAAGAGGAGGGCGAGGAGAAGCAAAACCTTCATTCCGGTTTCTGGTGGAACTCTGAAATGGAAAATTACATTTATGCAAATCATTGTAGCATGGTTTGACTTTATCTTCACTGCCTTATTTGATTCTTTTCTTCTGGTGACAGATCTGTCGTTCATTGGATATAAAATATCTCCAAATTTTCAGTCTTCAAGTTGCTAGAGTTGGTCTGGGGTGCACTGTTGTAACAATAGTTGGTTGTATTATGCCTTCAGAAGTCACAGTTTTGTTGCTTGTATTTTCACTCAATTTTTTACGCACTGCTTTGGATCTAGCAATTGATATGGCACTCCAGAGTGATACTTTAACCTTTGGCTTGAAGAATACCATATTTAAGAATTGTGGTCCACGTGTTATATAATTACTGTGATGATTTGTCTGTTGTAACAGTCTAAAATATCAACGTCAAGCTGTGAGTCTAACCCTTTTGTTTAGTTAGCTAGTGAAAGAATTCCTAGGCTAAACCTCCGGGAGCACTTGTAAGATTGGATAGCAGCTATTTGTACATATCACCTTTATTAGTCAGCAATTGTTTGTGTACGTCTTTATTTTATTCCGACAATTATTCCCATTTTGATCTGTTTCTTCAATCCTTTGATGCTTAATATTCTGTTTTGCATTTAAATTTTATACAAAAAGAGTTGTTATAAATGGGGTGTATTTTGTTTTCTGTTATTGGTGTGGCATAAATTGAGTAGTGATTTGTGTGGAATATTACAATTTCAAAGGAAACGGGTTTATTACTCTGAAATAATTTATCTTTAATCCACTCCAATCTACATTTTTTTAATGTTAACGAATGACTTAAAAATCTGAAGTGTGAAACGGAACAGATTTGCTGTGTAGTTGCTGCTTGAATGGATGGAAGGACATACCTTAGTTTGAAGCTTTATTGGCCAACTTTCTAAGTCTTTAATTGATAAGTATTAATAGATTTCAAAATGTATCGGAATATTTTGCTAGCACATTTATTTCTTTGAGGAACCAAGGCTTGTCCATCTTACTCTCTAGATTATGCATGTGGATTTGGATTTATAGTTCAAACAAATTGTGTGAAGCAGTTTCAATTTACGTGCATCATGTCATGATCTAAATTTGACTTGATCCGAAATTAAACATGCAATTATTTATTTGATTTAGAGCTAAAAGTTGAAACAGGTTTGAATACAAAATTTGTTACTTTTATAATAAAAATATCTAAATAGAGATCACATTACATAAAAGAACAATATTAGCTAATCTGATCAGTCACAGCAATTTAATTGATGAATGAAGCTAGAGATGAGTGAAATATCTTTTCTTTCTTCCATCCTTTTTATTTTTTATTCAACACTCGTTTCGCCATTTGTAATTATCATGTGCTCTCGTCACCCTTTAACTAGTTGGGCCTTTTCATTTATATGGGATTATGTTGGTAAAATCTGGGCCTGTACTGACTTAATTTTGCTAAACATTGGATCTGACATTGGTTATCCTTCAAATTCTTAATTCTTAGAAATGTAGAAAAATTAAGTTGGAAGAAAATATCTATTGAGGAGTAGATAACTCCAAAACAACTTATTTTGAAAATTTTCATGGCTCCACAACTTATGTACGAAGAATACTTAAATGTCAAAATATTTCTCTCTTCAAATTTTAAACATGGTATATTTTTTAATATTTTTTTATTTTTTATATTCATTTATTTATTAATAATATATTATTTAATCTTCTCAAGATTAATAGTAATTTGTCACTGTATACGAACATTTATGAATGGTTAAAAATGCATTACTATATTTTTCAGTAAAACAGATAAATAAGGTTTTCTAAAAGAGTTTTAGGTAATAAAAAATATTTTTGAAATCTTCAACGGCTATGCTTTGAGATGCGTAAATATGGTGATTTCATTTATACTCACTCAAAGCTCAACGAGTGATACTTCAAAATACATTAAAGGACCTCTTCAACAATAAATTACTGGTTGTTTTCTATGCTAATTTCTTTTTATTTATGTTTTTATACTTATGGTATAAAGTTTAAAAAGTACATTATATTTGTATTGAATATTAACTTTCTTCTTTTACCGTTATAAAATGAGGTTTTTACGTTTGTTATTTTAGTTCTTTTACATTAAATATTAATACAGGAGAAGTAAATTTACGTTGTACTTAATTACAAATGTAAATTTACGTTAGATATATCCCTAGTCTAACATAAATTTCGTTTTTTTTTCTTATAACAAGTCCAGATTTCAATAGAAAATGATTAAAAAATACAATAATACAATATAATATAAAGACAAAATTAGTACAAAAACTAAATTACTTAAAAGGTAAACATTACAAAATTATGTGAGAAGAGAAATTCCATATCGGAGAAATTATATGTGGGTGCTTTTTTTCTTGTTATAAAAGAAACACAATGTTACTTTATAAATCACCCCAAAATTCTTCATTTTCCTTTTTACTAGTGCATTGTATAGTAGTTGAGTTCTCTTATTTCTCAAAGAATAATATTATTTTTTTTCTCCTTAGATTTAAAGAGAATATTATAATTTCTTCCAGTAATAAAATTCTATTATTGTCTATTGCCTATTTTGTTTCTCTTTTCTTATCTTTTATTTTAGTTGTAAATTCTTATGCAGTTACTCTGATTTCTAACATTGGTATCAGAGTTGATGGTTCATCCAATGACTGGCTCAGTTGAGTACAGTAGGTGATGGTTCGTCCAATGACTGACTCAGTTGAGTATAATAGGTGAAAGATTCTTGTGTCGAAAGTCTTTCTAGTAAGGGTTTCAGGCACTCAGTTGAGTATAGTAGGTGAAAGATCCTTGTGTCGAAAGTCTTTCTAGTAAGGGTTTCAGGAAAGCGAGTTCCGTTAAATTGAACGGCGATTGAGAATTCAAATGTGTGTTTGAAGTCCCACATTAAGTAGAAGTGGGAAAATTGAGTAACTTATAAGTGAAAAAGACTCATAACATAATATTTTAAGGTTTTTAGTTGAAGGTAATATCATATTATCTTATATGGTTGATTCATGACCCATTTGTGAGAATCTCCCTACTGTGAGCTCTCTCGAAAATACCCAACAAACTAAACCAATACAAAGTCTAAACTACCTAAATATTAAACTACATAAAATAATACAAACAATAACCTACAAACTTTTATCTATTACATGTGGTTAATAGCATATTTTGGAAAAATTGTTGGGATAAATCCCCTATCTTCTTTGCTTTTTTTCCCTTCGTTTTCATATGTTATATATCCAAATCCGATATCGAAATAAAAAATTATCCTTCTTCGAACATTTTCTGTTTTCTTTTCATCATCATAAAACTCTAAAACCTATATAATGTAATACCTTCTCTTGACATCATACAAAAAATGTAGAATTCAAACAACTAAACCATGAAAACAAAAAAATGCAGTGTATAAACCGTAAATCTACTCAAACACATAAACAGATAATTGCAAATTACTATAACAATTCAATTTCAATAACAATCCAGTGGAGACATTCAATTTCAATAATGTGATTGAAATCCTAAAAAACAATAACAGATTCAAAGTAGGGATTGCAAAATGGGGCAGGCCCGACGGGCCGACCCGCCAGCCCATCATAATATGGCGGGGCGGGTTGGTGTTTTTAGCCCACCAGCCCGCTTTGGCCCGCCCCACCAAGTCCGCCAACCTGTCGGGCCAACCATGCGGGCGGGCGGGCCAGCCGCGGCCCGCCTAATTAATAAAAAAATAATTTTTTACCGTAATAAAATTAATTATAAAGATAATATATAAAGTTAAAAATTTTAAAAAGAGAATTAAAAAAGTTTGACCCTCACAAAAAATATTCTCCTTACTCAAACACAACCTTCTCTCTTGTTCTCATTGTTCATCCTAAGCACTCGATTATTTTTATCCTTATGACTTAAATTAAAAGTGTAAGAATTACTCAACCAAGAATAATGTGAAGTTTTATCAAATAAAAAAGATATAGATATTTGAATTTTTCAATATAAAAAATATAAATTTTATAAGTTTTAACGTATATATATATATATATATATACATATATTTGTTATTATTTATTATTATGTAAATTTTATTATTGTTCTAAATTATAATTTTTTAAAACAATGTATTGATTTGTATTATTAAATTGAAATAATATATATTGAATTATTAACAAACAAATAATAATCTTATTATTAAATTTATTTTAAAAAATTATTTTTTCTAAATTATGGCGGTCAGCCCGCCAACCCGCCCTTGGTGGGACGGGCCAAGATCTACAATCCGTCATGACTATATTGGGTCAGCCCGCCCCACCCCGTTTTTAGCGGGCCAAAACAGGGCGGGCTGACCCGTTTTGCCATCCCTAATTCAAAGACACATATATAGAACACTGATCTCAAATATACAAAAAGGCTCTAAAACTCAAATTTAATTAGAGAGAAACGCCAACCACTATAAAAGAGACACAATGTAAGTGAGTGGTCCAAATATATCTTGAGAAGAGCTGGTTTGGTCGTTATAGTCATTGTCACTCAAAAATCCTTGCGTGCGAGAGAAAAAAAGAAATCATAAAATGATTAAAACGCGACTTTTATATTAAATTTCATAAAGACCGACGTAAAAAATTACTTTTAAATTAATCTATAAAAAGTCCAACATAAAAATAGTGTCTCTTATTTACAAAAATATCCCTTTTTTTTTTTAAGTTGGTTACTTTTGGGTCTGATAAAAATTAGATCACCTGAACAAAAAAACTATTTTACACTAGTTTTCTTCTCCATCTTTTAATGAATCTTTTTTTATAATTCTAAATTATTACTAGGTAAAAAGAGTAATAACACATGGAGGGGTGTTTTTCACTCCCCATTTTGTAACCTTCCAAATCTTGGATTAAGAACTACCATGAATTAATGACGATAGAATCAATATGTTCAACCGTTTCAAAAAATAACGGATCTAGAAACCACTATTCCCACTAAATTCTTCACTTTTACACTTTTGTTTGTGCTAAACAGTTTCATGCTCAAGATCAACTAAAAACAGAGCTTACATTGGTAGCGAAGATACCATAATCAAACATCAAAACCAAGTGATGAGTTTCAAAACAATAAGAAGAAAAAATTAATCTTGTCCAGTCTTACCACTCGATTTCTTTACACGACAATTTTATCAACATACCCTTAACTTTTCTCTGCAAAAGGATAACAACTCCAAATCAAAACACAGAAGAAATCAAGGGTATATATTATTATCAGTATTATCATAACATAATAACGAAATAAGACATGACAAATCACAATGCTTGAATCACATGACATTACCAAAATCCTGCAACACTTATTTCTATCGCTCTTTCTCTTGTTGGATTGGTTCATTTCTTCGCCCCCTTTGTGTTGTTCCCCACATTTATATCCAAACTGGGTACCTGAGGTTGGTGGCGTTAGGGTTGAGGGCGAGAATACTGGAACTGATTCAGCCAACAATAACTTCTTCTGCCAAAATTTGATGGCAACCATTTATTTCCCTACATATTCTTGGCGTGTGAAGAAAACCAATTAGTTGCAAGAGAAGAAAAGCGAGAACTTGCCTTGCTTCTAGGCCGTGACTGGTTGTGGGGCAATCGAACTTTAACATTTTTTTGGGACTCTGCAGTTTCTCTGAGTTGTCTAGAGTAAGCAAGGAGCTGAGCCCTACGATCATACCCTTGTGATGATTGTGATCCTGTAGTTTGTGGCATTCTGTAATGTGACTTCGTTTTCTTTTTGGGATCCTCCGATGGTTTAATTGAGCGCGTTCTTGTCGATTCTACGTAGACTGTGATCACCACTCCCTTTGTGACTGTGCTTTTGTTTTGCATGTTCATGCTTTGTTTATTCTCTGATGCCATTTCTTTGGCTGATGTAGAAAGTGTTTAGAAATGAAAGATTTTCTTCAACGGGGGCAGCATGTGGAATTGTGAAGGTTAGAGATCTTGTTATCATTCATTAGGATCTTGTTTTCAGAACATACGTGTGTGAACTTTCTGAAGATTCCATACCCCATTAATCATGAATCGTTTCAGAAAACAACAACCAGAGTGAAGACCCTCCTGGGATTTTGGAATATAAGAAAAAACTTGTCCAAGTCAAAATTACAAGAAAGTAACAGTAATAATGATCATTTATTACGGTCAAAGTCTATTTTTATGCACTTTTACATACACATTTATATAATTCGTTATTCCAAAACAAGTTCATTAATTCTAATTTCTTCAAATGATACAGAATCTTTAGCAGGAAAAAAATGTATACTAACAAAAACTAAAACTACGTGTTGACTTTGTCTTTCATGGATGAAAAAAAATTAAAATGTGTATTGATATTATGGTAATTATTACATTAATTATATTTTGGTGGCTGTATTCCAAAAATTATACAACACATTAATGCTATATGTGTTATACAAAAAAAAATTGTACTATAAAAACTATCCGTTAATATATGATCTTCTAAAAATTATATTTTTTCCTTTTTTTTCCTAATATAAAACTTGATTATCTAATTCATCTTTATTAATATAATTTATAATAATAACTATTGAATATATATATATATATATATATATATATATATATATATATATATATTAAATAACAGCTATCACCATTACCACAATAAAAAATATTTATCATAACCTCATTATAGTAAAGGTAAATTGAATAAAATAAACAATTGTAGAAATGATATTGCCTAGAAATTTGTATACATAAATTTGTCTTGTTTTTTATTTATTTAATATTTATCTTATTTTATCTAATTATTTTCTAGTACAATCTTTTTCTCTTTCAATGTTGAATGTTTTAGTCTAAAAAAATGAAGATAGTATTAAAAGATTTAATATATTTTTTAAAAATAAATAAAAATAATAATATCAATGAAAAATTTAATGACTAATATTTTTTAGTATTGATGAAACAAAATATTATAGTAGTGAGACTTTCTGATATTATAATATATTAGAATTCTCTTAACATTGACGCATATTATAAATTTTCATAAGAAAAATTGATAAGGATAATAAAAATAAAAATAATTTACTTGAAAGAAGGAAAGAAGTGTAACATACAATTAAAATAACATCGTAGACAAACAGAAGAAAACAAGAAAGAGGGAAGTGTAGCATCATACAACCGTGATGAAAGAGTAAATAAAATAAAAAATAATGATATATTAGACTTAATTAAACAAAACTTACCATAATCATTCTAAAATTAATATTATCGTATATAAATAAAAATAATTATTTTTTTTAAATATTGTCATAAATAAATCTTGATAATACTAAAAATTATTGTTGTATATATATAAATATAGTAATTATTATTTTAGAACTATAATTGAAAAGTTTGATTTAGTTTTAAAATATAATAATGTTTTTTTAATTATAATTTCTTAATAATCGATTTATTTTGGATTAATGACAGAGATTAAGAAAAATTTATGTATATTATTTTTCTTAAATATAAAAGCATAAGAAAATGAGTTGAAAGTCATGCTGTATTATTTTTTTGGCTGGGTTTCTCCAAGAAATATTAATAAACTCATTTTTATACATATTATACAACTTGTATGGTGTGAATAATAACTTTTAATTTAATATTTAAAATCATCATATATTTATATCTACCAATTTAGTATGAAAGATTTTTTATGAAAACATCACGTGCATTTTAATTATTACCTCTTTTTTTTTTTTTTTTCGTTTGTATCATCATATATGTTTCCTCGCATTTTGTATTTCTAGCCAGTCAAATTATTTTTTCAGTTTAGTAACGTGTAGTTTTTTGTAACGTGAAAAATTAAACAGAAATTGGAATATATGTTCAAAGATAGTAGTATCCGTAATAAAAACAATTAATATAAAATCATTTAAAATTAATTTTAATATTAACTATTATACTTTAAATAAAATATAAATTTAAATGTAATATTTAAAATTAAAAAATATGAAATCTTAAAAAAAATTAACACGTATAATTTGTCGTAGATTATTATATATAGAATAAAAAATATTAAAAATTAGTTAATTGACAAAGTAAGAAAGAAGAGAGTCCTACAACTTATTTATTTATTTATTTAAAAAAATAATTTTATTTTTAAATTAAAATTAATAAAATATATTTTATATTTCAAATTATTATTTTTATTGATAAGTATAACATTTTTATTGATAATTACATCAAAACACATTTTATTGTTAAAATACTTATTTTGTTATCAAAATACAATAGTAAAAAGAAAAACGATTTTTTAAAATATTTAAATCTGTTTTTAAAAATAAATAAAAAATTAAATTAAATAAACAATTATTATGTAAGAAGATGTGTATTCTATATGAAATTATACCGCGTATATATCATAACATAATTATGTTGTTAAAAGAAGAAATTAAATTATTATTAACATGGTGAGAAGTATGTTAAAAAGTAAAAATCTTTTGACATTCTGTTTTAGGTGAAACGGTTGTTATTATAATTTATATTTTGAATTGATGTTCAACTAAGAGAGCTAAGGAGAAGTAACTCAAAGAAGTTTGGTAAGAGAAAAGGTCCAATGTAAAACATTTGAAGGTATTTTGTACAATTTGTAAAGACATGTTCCCAATGAAAGAAGAATAAAGTTCGATGCCAAAAATGAAAAACTAATTTTGGGTGAGTATCATTCAATAAGAGCTTATAAGTTTTGAAGATATGTTTGAAGATCCTAAGTGGGTAAAGACAATAAAAAAAGAATTGTTTGCATTAAGAAGAATCATATGTGATAATTAATTTATTTATCGAAGAATCAAAGATCAATAAATGTGAAATGAATATATAAAACTAAGTTGAAGCTAGATGGAACTGTTATAAGGTATAAAGTCAGATTTTTGCAAAAGGTTTTCTTGAGAGAGAAGGTTTTGATTACAAAAAATTCTATGTTTGAGTGGCTAAAATTGAGATAGTAAGAACTGTTGCGGTTCTTGCAAGCTACGTAGGATGTGAAATGTATCAAATTGATGTTAAATATGTTTTTTAAATGTAAATTGGAGGAGCAAGTGTATATTACACATTCACTAGGATTCATGATTACTAGATAATAACAAAAGATATTTAGACTGAAGAAGCCTTTGTATGATCTAAAACATCAAAATCGATGATTTTTCTTATATAATAAGTTTTTTTCAAGTATGAAATAAAGTAAAAAAATTATTCAAAAATGAAGGATGATAAAGTAGTAATGATATGTTTATACATCGATGATTTATTAATAGTGGACAAAAAAGTTATATTAATCAAAGAAAAGAAGCGATGAAGATTAGTTTGAAATAATTGATTTAAAGATGTTGTCGTATTTTTTTAGATAAGAAATTTATCGAAAGAAAAAAAAAGGGAGCTTGTATCTTTTATAAATTTAGAAATATATTATTTATAAACATTATTCTTCAACCTATTTTATAACATCTATTAAAACTTTCATCTCGTTAAAATATCTTATCTCAAGTATATTGTTTTTCCCTTTGTCTTTTATGTGCTATAAATTGCATAAATTTATTGTAAGAGAACAAATTCTCTAAATTCCTTTTGATTTCATTCAAATTCATAAATAAAAATCTGACAAAAAGAAAACAAAAATGAAAACGAATCAATCTCCTGCAATAAGCGCTGGTGGACAACATGCATCATGTGAACAAAGAAGATAAAAGATTGAAAAAGTCCAGTATTATCAGACGTGGAAAATGAGGAAACGAGTGTAACATTTTCATCCATAGACCACTGTTCCAATTTTCTTCAAGTTTTTTAACTACTACCCATGACACGCATCAGAGACCAATGGTGTTGAGGAAGAAAAATCTACAACGTGAACCAAATTTTCAAAATGATTAGACAATATTGAATTACGTAGTAATTTGAATAAATTAAATTGAACCAAACTGAATTACTCTAAATTAATAAATATCAATTTTTTAACATATTTTAATATTAAAAGTTATTTGAATTTAATTGGGTTGAATTTCCTTTTGTAGATTTTTAATTATTTGTGAAGCTTTAATATTTCTTTTAGAGGAACATCAAATGTCACATTTATTAGAAATAGAATAAAATCATATAAAATGAGTATAATCTTTTATTAATTTTCTAAAATTAAATTAAATATATCAAAGTTTTTAATATGGTGTCAGAAACAATTGTAATAATATTGAGTAATAAAATTTCTTTCTCAAAAGTGTGAAAAATCTCAAAATTGCTTTCAAAATGAGAAAATATTCTTTCCACGAATTTTATAAAATTGATTTGTCGACTCTTTGAAAGAAAATTAACTAAATAAAATAATATTAATAAAAACATAAACTCGACACACGTAAAAAGTTGACATTATTTTTATTTTAAAATTTTAAGATATTAAATTATGAATTTTTCTTTCTTTTTACATTTCGTTCTAACATGAGTTGCTAAATTTCTTTTTCTAATAATATCCAACAATTAAAATGTTTGTGGTGAAGAAAAAGTTGAAAAAAAAATAAAAAAAATGAAAGGAAGACTAGAAAACAAAAGAAGGGAAAGAGGAACGATCGCACGTACCAAGGTGACTCCATGGTTCACCCAAGAGCCAAGTTTGCATATTAACAACCCCTTGGGTAACCAAGTTGCCTCCCCCAGTTGGTTATTGTGTCTCTCCTTTTTGTCCAAACTGTTGCCAAATTGTAAACCACAACATACCTACCTCACTTCCTTTCTCTGGTTTAGTAGGGTTGTTTGGCCATTGGTGGCACCGATGCGCCACTTCACACCCTTCTCCAACCTTCTAACTTCTATTATCCACCCCGGTTCTTTCCCTCTATTTTCATTTCTCTTTCCACTTTTATATATATATATATAGTATTCAAACTTCATTCAAATTATAAATTATGAAAGAGGATTATTAAATAAAACGTGAAATATACCTTTTAATAACTTTAAACAAATTTAGATCAATACAGAGAATGTGTGAAAAAAAAAACGTGTTAAGGAATGTGATTGAATTCATAACATTTCTCTTGTTAAAAACTTAATAAATAAATCAATACAAAAATATTCATAAGATTTAATGTCATTTTTTAATCGCTAATTTCTTAAATTTAAAATATAAAATATTAATAATTAATTATGATGTTACATGACTACATTTATGGATCACCAACAGAATTTCCTCAAAGACATAACCTATACAAGGAATAATAACAAAAATGTTTCTGACATTATGTATTTAACACTCTTTTATTATTAATTAGAAGTTATGAAAAATTATGAATTCGAGTCTTACTTCTTATTTAGAGTGCAATCTCCCAAAATTTATTATTTTCAATAAATTTAAGTTAATAACAAAGAGAATGTTAAAAAAATTTATTATTTTCAATAAATTTAAGTTATTAGTAAAGAAAATATTAAAAAAATAACCTTAGATAAAATATTGTTTACATTCCGCAATTTATATGAATGGAAGGGTAACGGGGTATGTACGAAACAAATTCTTACAAATAAGAATAGGAACATATTATATAAAAGAGTATAATATTATCTTTAATTCAATTTTTTTAAAATTTGAAATATTAAATTATGAGGATTTTTTATTTATAAATTTTTTATATATAATTAATACGATATTTTCATTTTAGCTTAAATTTCAACAGAACATAAATAGTATTTTAATTTTTTAACAATATATGTTTTTTTAGCTTTTATTTAGATAGAAGGATGTTCTCGTTACAAAAAAAGAGAGAGAAAATAAGGAAGTATGTATGTATTTGTTTTTAATGATTTGTGTTGATTTAAAAAGATTGATTAGTGGAATTCATCATACTATAAATACATTCGTATATACCAAGTAAAATAAGGAAACATGGTGAAATTTCTAGCGAGAATTTCTAAGAAATTTACCGCATTATACAACCAGTTGAAGAATAAAAGAAATAACATTACAACCATCAATAATCAATTATGCACCATTGATCATTGATTATGAAATATGTAATAATCAATTATGATAAAATACGTAGTCCATTATGCTTATTTTCATAATTGTTGATACGTGTCTCATAATAAATTGAACAATACATGTTTGTATTATATATTATTATGTTCTTTTAGTACGTTTGTTGTGATGATATTTTATATATTTAATATTTGTTAAATCAATAATTTTATCATTATTATGTTAATTATATATATATATATATATATATATATATATATATATAACTACTTAATAAAATGTATGTCTATATGCATTTTATAGGATTTGTTAATTTTAAATTTTCTCTACTAAATAATTATAAAAATTAGTTTATAATGTTAATTTATAGAAATAAGATAATTAATTATAAAATAATTTATTTTTATTTGAATTATTTATAAAATCAATTATATTATCATTATCATTTTTATTTATTTTATTCATTCCAATAATAAAAGTATTTTAATCATCACACAAAAAATTATTATTTAATTTTTTTATATTCAATCCAATCTACAATAATAAATTCATTCAAATTCTTTTAAATTTATATTTTTTTTCTCTCTATCCAAACAATTTCACGGTAGAATCTAAATCACCTCAAGTTGATTGAAAAGTTTGGTAAAACACTCCCCTAAAAGATGCCAAATTGTGAACATGTGGATGTGGAGAGTGAGTTACGCCCTCACCTTTTATAATGGTACTCTAAGACAATGGTTTACCACATCTTGTCTCGTGATTCCTCCATTCTATATTTGTACGTGCGGGTGTTCTTTGCTCTTTTGGCATATCATTCTGACGGTAATAGTCATGTCACAACCACCATGACACCAAAATAGTCACAATCAATTTATCTCATCAATTAATTTTCTTAATTATAATTCATTAGTTATATATGTATATATATAATAGTCTGATTCGTCATATTTAGAGTTAGATTAAATTAAAATAAATTATTGTCATTTGGTGTCAAACTTTAATTTGACAATTTTAATCACTGTGATAAAACTTGATTTTCTAAGATGTTCATATTTTTAAAATAAAAAGCCTAAAATATTCCTTTTTTATAAAAAAATTATTATTTGACTAATAATTATTATAATAATATAATATTTAATATCAATTTTATAATATATATATATATATATATATATATATATAACATCAATTTTTGAATTGTTATTAAAAAAAATGTGTGGATGAAAATTAAAAGAATGAACATTTATTCTTTTATGACCGATCTAGAAAATTCGTTTTAGTTTTTTTTGAAATACTGACTATTTTGGTAACATTTCTCACCTATAAATAAACACCAATCCAAAACATAAACATAAAGATTATCAAACAACACAAGGACGTGAAAAAGATATATACTTATATTACTAATTTACTATATTTACTCGCAATCTCATTGATCTTTCACCAATTTCACTTTATGTATTCACAATTTACATATAATAAAAAAAACCTACAAAATCTAGTACAACAATAAGGTCATATGAGACATTAAAAGAAAAACAATACATAACATAAGAGCCTTTAGGAATAGAGAGAAATTTTCAAACCAACTAACTTGATCCTACAATTCTCCATCTGAATTCTTCTTTACTCTAATCTCAACACATTAAATTTTCATCTCTTTCCATTTTTTTTTTACAGTCCTGCACCACACATTTTTTTCCGCCCAAATCAGTCATGGTGACCCCACATAGAATCTGGACAAACCCTTCTCTAACCCCTTCAACACCTGTGTCCCACGTTGAATCCTTTCATTTTTCCTAGTTCATTGAGCGTGCCTCCGTGTCGACGACATAGTCGAGGATTCCGGTAGTAGCGAACTCGCAGGTGATGCATATGCGGTGGAAGAAACAGTCAACAAGTTAGACATTGAAGAGGGGACGTCGTTGATTGGACCACTAAAGACGTAGATGGTGGAGTCAAGGACAACGTAAGCAAAACCCACAACAAGATAGGGAATCGGTGGATGGAGCACAAGGAAGAGGGTTAGGGACTGTGTGGTGGAACGTGAACCACAGGAGGAAGGAGACACGTGAGTAAAGAGTAAGGTAGAGGACACGATAGAGAACATGATGATGCGAGTGAGGGAAGAAAAAAAAGAATAAAATAAACCATTTCATAAAAAAGAGAAATATTTTGTAAAAAAAGATAAATATAATATTATAAATAACTTTTATTACCATGTAATCCATATGAGATTTGTTCCAAATTATAAATTTATTTTCGTGTCTTTTGTTATATGGACTTTTTTATAACCAAATATTAAATAACGTTAATAAATATTTTTTTAGTAATGTGCAGCGGAATGTACTAAAATTTTGAATGGCTGATCAACATGAGACAACAGTGTAATATTTTGGATAAAATAGGTTTAGAGGCTTTTTTATAATACTTAAATGTTTTAAATTTGATCTCAATTAATAATTTCATTAAATTCAAAGAATGACCTAGACAACAATCAGTATCATTTGTCTAATCAAAGTAATATAAAATGTATATTTTTATCTCTTTAAAATATAAGTATTTCACTTTTGTTTTTTTCAAAATATTTTTTAATATTTCCTTTATAAACTAAAGCATATCAAAAATAATTTTAGTTACTCAATCTATTAAAATAATGACTTACATGATAACATTTCTATCATAAATATTAAAATTATTCATTGTTTTAAAAGTTTGTGCTATTTTACTATCTCTGGTGTATATGACAAGAATTTAAGGTTATTGTAGAACAATGATAAATTTCTCATCTTTTATAGTAATTTTACTAAAATAATTTAACTTTTTAATAAATTCATTACTTTGATTTGATGACATATTAGGAAAAAAAGTTTTTAACTTGTACATTTTTTTCACAAATTCTCTTTTATTCTCTTTCAATCTAATTTTTACAAATTGATTAATCCAATCTTTCATAACTTCAAATAACTTTCATATATATCAAGTTCTTGGTGACAAGGAAAAATATCAAAAACTAGTTGGTTAATTGATTTGCATATCACACAGCAGATCAAAATATAAGTCATGTTGTGAGTGTGGTGAGTCTGTGGATATTGTTGTATAGGATTCTGCAATATTTGAAATCATCACCAAATAGTAAGTTGATATTTTGACAGTTAAGTTGCTGCGAGTTCAATTTTTCATGAATCACTAGTAAAAATTGCAGTGAAATTTAAGTTCTACCTTGAGAATAGTTGGATATGAATCATGTTTGTAGTTGTGTTTTAATCAGAGCGGAACATGAAATTTTGCATGATGGATGAGATTAAACCATATGCACATTAAAATTAATTATGATATAAAAATAAATATATTATATAAAATTATTAAAATTTATAAATCATTCATATATTTTATATTAATATAAAATAAAAATATATAAAATTGAATTTATTTAATTTACTATATTTTATATTATAATAATCATCTATGATTAAATAATTATCTCTTTTTACATATCTAATAAAAGACAAAATGATTTTGTTTTTTCAAAAACTAAATTCTCATTCACTTAAAAAAATATTTTAGTGAAGGAGATCTGACGTGAGTGAAGTAAGGAGCTAGGTAGGGCTACTCTACCAAGTTGCTATAATATTTTTTTCAATTTTTGTTATAGCTGTTGCAGCCGCTGAAACAGTTATTGGACCGGTTATTGTTTCCTCGATATATTAAAATCAATCCGTATCCATTAATCCAATTTATTGAATAAATAATATTACTTATAAAAAAAAGTATAATTACTTATAAAAAAAAAGTATAATTTTGAATAAATAGTATTACTTATAAAAAAAAGTATAATTACTTATAAAAAAAAAGTATAATTTTGAATTGAATAATGTGTACTATTAATCAATTCAAATTAGCATATATTATATATAAATTTTAATCATGTTTGTTCTCTCATGCCCCTTCCTCTCCCTATAAATATCCCAGGCCACTGGCTTACTAGATCAATTTCCTTTTCTCTTCCACCACAAAGTGTCACAGAGAAGGCAAACAAGAAAAAAAAAAAACAAAGAAAAGTCTCCACTTACCTTTCTTTCTCACAATGGCGGCTTCCGTTGACAACCGTCAGTTCGGCGGTCACATAAACGGCGTCGTTCGCAGTTGCGGACAGGATTTCAAGCCCCCTATGCCGTTGAATTTCGATCTGGATTCCTCCAGCAGCGACGACGACGACGAAAACAACGACGCTTCGTACCTGAAAGACTTCGTACGAAAAGCGAACGCGGAAACCGAGGCGTCGGTCATGGACCCGCGCGACGAGGGAACCGCGGATCAGTGGATCGCACGGAACGCTTCCATGGTCCGGCTCACAGGGAAGCACCCCTTCAACGCGGAGTCCCCCCTTCCGCGCCTCATGCACCACGGCTTCATCACCCCGGTCCCACTCCACTACGTCCGCAACCACGGTCCAGTTCCCAAGGCCAAGTGGGATGAGTGGACCGTCGAAATAACCGGTCTAGTCAAGCGTCCAACCCGGTTCACCATGGACCAACTCGTGTGCGACTTCCCCCACCGCGAGTTCCCCGTCACGCTCGTCTGCGCCGGGAACCGCCGCAAGGAGCAGAACATGGTCAAGCAGACTATCGGCTTCAACTGGGGCTCAGCCGGCGCCTCCACCTCCGTGTGGCGTGGCGTGCCCCTGCGCCACGTGCTGCACCGCTGCGGGATCCTGACACGTGCGAAGGGCGCGCTGCACGTGTGCTTCGAGGGCGCCGAGAATCTCCCCGGCGGCGGCGGGTCCAAGTACGGAACCAGCGTGTCGAGGGAGATGGCCATGGATCCTTCGCGCGACATCATCGTGGCGTACATGCAAAACGGCGAGCCTCTGGCGCCGGATCACGGGTTCCCCGTTCGCATGATTATTCCCGGTTTTATCGGTGGAAGAATGGTGAAGTGGCTCAAACGCATTGTCGTTACTGAACATGAGTGCAACAGTCATTATCATTACAAGGATAACAGAGTTCTCCCTTCCCATGTCGATGCAGAACTTGCCAATGAAGAAGGTATCTTTCTTCCTACTTTTTATTGGTTCTTGATTTTTTACCTCGTTTGCAGGAGATCTTTCATGAGGGGCGTTGAAAATGCTCATCGCTTCTCTCTCTTTTCCTGTCACGTGCATAACTTACTTTCTTTCTCTGTTTTTATATCTATCTGGTTGTTAAAAATTTTATGATAAAATATTCCATTTTATTTTTAAACAATGGTTAAAAATTCCATTTAGACATTCCTAACTTATCTTATACAACATTTAACTAATTATTATGATTTTTTTCATATACTATAAAATTTAAATATATGTTATTTAAATACTACTTGGAATATGAACAGATCAATATATATAGTTTAAGATCATGAAAAAAAAATTGACCATATAATATTAAAGTATCCATTGATTTGTTTTTTCATTGAAATTATATGTACGTATACTTTTAATGAGTTATGTATATTTCTTCTGTACATTTTTTTTTCGTTTCTTCACCCATTTTATACTTTTGTTGAAGATAATATTTAAACATGTACAAATTTTTTTCTCTCTAAAATTCGACTTTTAATAGTAATATACTAACGCTTTCTTTGGAAAGTTCTTAATCGGTATTTAATAAGAAGAAAAAATAGAAGGTGAAAATTACTTAACTTTTTTTATAAATTAAAATTAATTTGTGGATTCTAACTTTTGACAAAGTTGAACGGATAAAAAAGTTTGAATATGCAATTTAAGTGATAAATTTAATTCATGTTATGCTATTTTTTTTTTCTTCTCCATAACCACTTAAAAATTTTAGCCTAATTTTAATTTGAGGAATTATGTGTACTAATTATTTAGCTTTAAAACCAATCAGTTGTTATTTTGTATTTGTAATTTAATTTGTAAAATGATAATTATTTTCTTGGACGATTTTCAGAATTAAAATAATTTTTTTATAGTTGTAAAAAGGGTAACAATAGTTTTAGGAAATAATAGAGTGAAATACTATTCCAACTTTACATTTGTGCGAGGAAAGACATGTTTTTGCCAAGGAATTTTGTTATGGAGACAAATTCTTGACATAGTTGTTTCTTTTTCTCTTTTTTTTTTTTTTGCCTTCCAGGTTGGTGGTATAAGCCAGAGTATATCATCAATGAGTTGAATATTAACTCAGTGATTACGACGCCGTGTCACGATGAGATATTGCCCATCAACTCATGGACCACGCAGAGGCCTTATGTACTCCGAGGCTACGCATATTCTGGTTAGTTTTCCTGTTTTTGAGTCATGCTCTGGTACATTAACATTAGCAAGATTATTTGCCACGTATAAGATAATACGAAATTTCTAACGTTAAATAAATTAAAAATAAAAAAAAAGTTGTTAAAATTCTGACAGAAAGAAAAAATAAAATTAGTTTTACAAGTATTAACCAACTAGATAATAATAATAAAAAAATAATGATCATAAGTATGAAAGACGTGATTGGGTAATGGAATCGTGGCAGTAGCATGCAATGGATAGACAGTGACTTGAAAAAAGAAAAGAGTGTTTATGGGTTGATGTAACCTGAGAGTTGTACGTGCAGGTGGTGGGAGGAAAGTGACACGTGTGGAGGTAACACTGGACGGAGGAGAAACGTGGCACGTGTGCACATTGGACCATCCTGAGAAGCCTAGCAAATATGGAAAGTACTGGTGCTGGTGCTTCTGGTCTTTGGAGGTGGAGGTGCTCGACCTGCTGGGGATCAAAGAGATTGCAGTTCGAGCTTGGGATGAAGGCCTCAACACGCAGCCAGAAAACCTAATTTGGAATGTTATGGTACGTATTCATCTCTATCGAACTTCCTTTTACAAATCTCTTTTACCTTGTTAAAATAATCAATTGATTTTACTCGTTATTTTAATAGTACTTTTATATCATATAAACTTATTGGTAGCAAGATAAATTCTTTGTTATGAAGAAAAAAAAGGACAACTGAGGCTGTACGAGTTAACATTTGTTCCTCATGAAATCTTTAGATTTTTATATTATTATTATTATTATTTATATATCCTATATTTTATACTTTTTCTATCAATCCAGAAAACGAGGTTCTCCATTAGATGCATGAAAACATTTGGATGTCAATTCATTTTTTTTTTCAATTAAAATTGACGAGCAATTACATGATGTCGTCAGCTGTCATTTTCACTATTAAGTGCAGAAATCGTTATCTTTTTATATTCTCAACGTCAAACTTATTTTTGTGGCATATTCCTGTTGAATACCTAAACACAGTTCAAAACAATTAATCCCTTTTTTTTCACTTGAGTTTATTTTTTTTTACAAATCATATCAGTAGTAAATGTATAGACTACTGATATACAAATAAACCTTTAATATCTTTTACATTTTAATCCTTTTTTTATAATATATTTAAAATAATTTAACCTTTTATATCGTAATTAAAACATGTTAAATATAATTTTTAATTAATTATTACAAAAAGTAGCATAATATTTATTCTATCAAGATCTCCATTAAAATGTATTGATAGTATAAAATGACATTATTTCACTGAATCATCCCATCTTTTTTAAATCCCTTGTTGAGTTTTTAAACATGTAAAGGAAGTATAATGATGTTTTCTTTTGGCTGTGCAACAATGTGTAGGGCATGATGAACAACTGTTGGTTTAGAGTGAAAACCAATGTGTGCAAGCCCCACAAGGGTGAGATTGGCATAGTGTTTGAACACCCAACCCAGCCAGGAAACCAACCTGGTGGCTGGATGGCGAAGGAAAAACATTTGGAAAAATCACAAGAACCGAAACCAAACCTTAAAAAGAGTGTGTCTACGCCATTCATGAACACTGCCTCAAAAATGTTCTCCATCTCCGAAGTCCAAAAGCATAGCAGCCCTGCCTCGGCTTGGATCATTGTCCATGGTCACGTTTACGACTGCACCAGCTTCCTCAAAGATCACCCTGGTGGCACCGACAGCATCCTCATCAATGCCGGCACTGACTGCACCGAAGAGTTTGACGCCATCCACTCTGACAAAGCAAAGAAAATGCTCGAAGGCTATCGAATCGGCGAGCTCATCACTACAGGTAATATTCATATAGATTCCATATTCAATTAATATATGAGAAATGTTCCACTTCTTTATTAACATTTTTTCTATATAGGTTGTACTTTATGGGTTTAATTTTGTTATGGATATTCATGGGTACTTTATTTGTATGAATGAGTTTTTACATCATTAACTAATACGAAATTAGGTTACTAAAATTCACTTAGTGGTTGACAATCTATCCATTTCATTATGAGAAATTATGTATTGTTAGGAAATTAATTTTATTTCAGTATTTAGTGATTTATATGGTTTGTTAATTCTGCATGAGTAGGTTACACCTCAGACTCGTCGCCGAACAACTCCGTGCATGGAAATTCCGAACTCACCCATCTGGCTCCTATTAAGGAAATCACCACTACACCACCCCTGCCACCACGCAGCGTGGGTTCACCACCCCTATCAGCACGCAGCGTGGCTCTCAACCCACGGGAGAAAATCCCATGCAAGCTAGTGTCAAAGACCTCCATTTCTCACGACGTCAGGCTTTTCCGTTTCGCACTACCCTCAGAGGACCAACTCCTAGGTTTACCAGTGGGTAAGCACATTTTCTTGTGCGCCACCGTGGATGGCAAGCTATGCATGCGAGCCTACACTCCAACAAGTGGCGTGGACGAAGTGGGGTTCTTCGATTTGCTCATCAAGGTTTACTTCAAAGGCGTGCACCCCAAGTTCCCGAACGGAGGGCTCATGTCACAGCATTTGGAGTCTCTCTCCATTGGCTCCATGCTGGAGGTGAAGGGTCCATTGGGACACATAGAGTACACCGGCAGAGGTAACTTCACGGTTCATGGGAAACAGAGATTCGCAAAGAGGTTAGCTATGCTAGCTGGTGGAACCGGGATCACACCAATTTACCAAGTGGCACAAGCGATCCTGAAAGACCCAGAGGACTGCACAGAAATGCATGTGGTGTATGCAAACCGCACAGAGGATGATATTTTGCTGAGAGAGGAATTGGATGCATGGGCGAAGGAACATAGTGAGCGGTTCAAGGTGTGGTACGTCGTGGAAACCGCGAAGGAAGGGTGGGGATACGGTGTAGGGTTCATCACAGAAAGTATCATGAGGGAGCACCTTCCAGAAGCTTCGAGGGATGCCTTGGCACTGACGTGTGGACCACCACCCATGATTCAGTTCGCGGTGCAGCCTAATTTGGAGAAGATGGGGTACGATGTGAAGAATGATTTGCTCGTGTTTTAGGGCATAAAGAAGTAGATTACTGGATTATGTCGTGCTTGTGTATTGTTATGTTATTTGTGTATCAGATGTCATTCGAAGGTAGTTTGTTTTATTCTTTATGCGGGTAAAAAATCAAGAAAAAATTGATTGGGAGGTACCCTTCCTCCTTTTTCAATCTGTAACATAGACAGGTATGTCAAGATTTTTTGACTACCTTAGTGTAAATAAGTTAAAGCTATATATATGTTATTTACTCTCCTCACTGCACCATCTATTTTACTTCCCTAATAATTCCATGGAGTTTTGAACTGTATATGCGTTTACTCTCTATGACCAAAGAAAAAACAAATAAAGTCTGATAAATGAGAATACAAAAGGAATTTTAAAAAACATTGTTTATATTGTCACTGAATAATGCAGTGTGAATTCGCGACAACTAATGCAAAAAATTACATTTGTATTTTACCGAAACATGTTCTAAACTAAGTTTCCATTTCCACAAGTAATTAATGCTAACGAAGATCTGTATATTAACTTCATATCATAATAAACATTGCATTTCTTGAATATTTTAGGAAAATTTTAGCATCAAATAATTTATTACCAGAAGAGCAATCTAGAGAAGGGGGTATATTATTGTGTTAAAAGCAGCGTATTTATAACAGTTCCTGATTTCTTAAGTAAGGCCATAACATGTAGGACGATAATATATTGATGAGGTTGGGTGCAGGACACTATGAATGTGAAGCAGCGAAAGAACAATGCATGGCCTTACCCTTCACGTGAGCATTAGGTCAAGAAAACTCAAGTGTTGTTTGGCGCACGGAAAGGTCACCTTACTATGCATTCATGGTTCAGTACCAATGCGTCCTCTCACTTAACTCGCTTTTGTCCTATTCAGAAATCTAGCTCTAATATCTTATTCATGAATAGTAAAATATAATAATTTCCTGCTTTTCAAGAAAAAGAATCTGCCAACGTACATGCATGAGAATCTGAGCTATCTGTATCAAATTACCATTTTTCTTCATTTTCATTGATATCGTTTCTCGGTAGTTTCAAATAATAAAAAATAGATTGCGGATACTTTTATGCTATTAAACGTCTACATGTTTGATAGATGGTATAACATATGATAGAAAGATAAAAAGTAAAATAATTAACAGTTGATGGATAATACTCTGTAATCTTGAAAGAACAAATATATTTAATATACTCTTTAATTACGGACACTAATTTGTTAACAATTACAATTAAATTTAATAATTATATATATATATATATATGCTTTAATCACTCGTGTTAATTCAATTAGAATATAGAGGTGTAAAATAAAATAAAAGAACTATACGTCATTGAGTTTGCTGAGTGTTTTAATTAATAAATGAAAAATGGATCTATGACGTCAGAAAATCCAATTAATGAAGCAAATAATAATAATAAAATCCACACAATGGAAATGATCTCCCTGGAAGTTGGGAGGAAATAGTCAAATGTTACACAGCAAACGCTGCTGCAGTCCTTTTCTGCTCTCAGTGGCCAAAGCATATAGTTAATTTCAAAACATTGAATAATCAATTTCATTTCTTTTGGTAATCGATGACGAAAGCAAATAAGTAAATTATAAAACACTTTCTTAAATCATAATTCTTATGTCGTGTCAAAGGCGGCTACTTTAAACTTTAATGCTAGATTCATTTTTAATTGCACAATGCATCCTTCGCTAAATTATATTATCATTGCAATTCTGTGAGTACGTAGAACTTGGCAATTGATCTAAACAAGAAAAATAAAATAGCACGATCTTCCAAGGTTGTCCCTTCTGTGGATGCAATTGAAAACTAATTGATTATTAAGAATAGCTAAATTGGTTGGTTCGTGTTCATTTTTATTTATTAAAAGCTATGTAAATATTATTAGTTGATTAGATTCAAGATCTTCACGGTGTAATTTTTTTTTCTTTTCGGTTCATTCCTTTTTATTCTTTAAAAATTATGTGAATCTTATTAATGTTTAAATTTAAGATTAATTATGTATTAATTTAAAGTATTTATTGTTTATCCAAAAATAAAAAATATATAATTTAGTGTTATTAATTTATTTTATATTTCAATTCCTCTAACACTAACAGGACAATTTATATCCAAATCATATTTACATCAAGTTCTTAATATATTTTAGATATTTTTTTCTAAATTTATCGATTTAGATATTTTTTTGTAAAATACAAAACTTTAACTTTCTCTTTTTACAATTTTTTCCTCATGTTTGGTGAGTTAACCTAATTGCTCCTAAATGGGTGGGTTATGATCATAACTAGAACATGTTATATAAAAGGTCTGAACAATGCATCGGTCTAATAAAAATTACTTTTAATTATAAAAGTTATGTTAATCACTTTTTTCTAACCTTATTAATAATGGATTTTTTTAAACAACGTAGTTAATATATTTAAAAATTTATTAGGTGTTAATACACATTTTATCTCATATTAGAATATACAATTTAAAAATACATAATAATTAAAATAACTGGTGGTGTTTATCGGTTGATTTAATTCAACACAAATTTCAATGATTGAACGCGATGAGTAAGAAATGAATAGACTGACAATTTAAAAAAATAATGATTTTCAATTATATATAAAAAATCAATCTAATCTAATGTCTTGAGACATGGATTGCAGTGGTTTAAGATATATAAATGCAAATTAAGTACATGTTGTATGAAATATTCAATTTTTTGGACCAGTCCGAAAGATATTTGGGTTTACGGTGATCTTTATGGGCTTGACATAGAAATTAAGACGACGAACTTTGTGAATTGAACCCCATTTATTTATTGCTAAGTATAATCCGTTGTTCATTGATTTTTTTTATTTTTTTTTTGAAAATTCGTTCTTATTGATCACAATACAGGATAAAAAATCGTTATAAATTCTCGTATTCTTTATTTCGATTAATTTACTATTTATACGGATGAAAAAGGGATGATGATACAAATTTTATTCAAGCAATTTGAGGAGATTCAATCAAAATATACAATTCATTCCATGTATATTTACGTTTTTACCCTTTCTATTTTCATGTGAAACAACTGTGTATGACATGGCATCCAAAAACAATGGTCACAAAAGAAAAACTTTTGCATGCAAAGAATCATTCCAGAAAATCAATTCTTTGCAAATTGAGAAATTATGGTTCATCTTCAATGCATTGAGAATCGATTAACAACTAAATGAAAATTGATTCTCGTCTTTGTTATTTACGTAATTTTCATTCTCTCCATGGCTAGAATCAATTCTCCTCAAATGCAGAATCAGTTCTTAATTATGAATGGTTACAGATTGTCAGATTTTTTTTTTTTTTTCAGTTTGTTATTTGTTATTTTGTTTGTTAGATATTTGAGAGTACTGTGGGGAATTATGCAGAACTTGCTCCTAATATGTAGGACAGTTTCAATAACGTGTGATTGTATTAATTTATTTCACTGCGATTCTATATAGCCATTTTTTATTATTAAATAAAAAGAAATACCACTGACAGCTGCATTGAAGTATTCATTGGCAGATTTGTCTTGCTTTGTTAAAATTAATCTAACACAGATAACCAAAATTCTCAATGCCTTCGTAATCGATTTTCTTTTATCTTAATTCAACTAGATTTGATACCCTCCGTTTGCATATAATGTATGAAAAAATCAATTATTTATTAAGTAAGAATCGGATTATTTATATTATTATTATTAAAAGTAAGAATCCATTCTCACATTTAATAATTATAATAATAGAATCAATTTTTTAATAATAATAATTATTATTTTAATAATTAAAATAAAAATAATTATAATATTAAGATAATTATTATATTAATAATTAAAATAAAATCAATTTATATAATTATAATATTTTAAATAATAATAATAATAAATATAAAAATAATAACTATTACATTAATATTAATAATTATTATTATTTTAATAAAATAATTATTATAATAATAATAATTAAAATAAAAATAATTTAAATAATAATAATAATAATAATAATTTTATTTAAAGGAAAATTTAGTCATTTTATAACTCTTTTATTAAAATATATTTTTTATCATTTACATCAATTAAATCATTTACAAACTCTTATATGATGAAAAAACATCATAAAAAACATTATCATTTATCCCTAAGAATTATTCTATTAATAAAGAAATAAGAGAAAAACAATCAACACAAGAATATAACTGAAAATTCCAAAAATCGGAGAAATACCACATGCATTATCTAGTGATAACCAGATAATAATACTATGTGAAATTTTTTACAACACAAATAACTCTCTCATGTCCTTGATCCCAAGTACACCCACACTCTCCAAAGTAATAATTTAAACTAAACCTCACAACACTCTACTACAAGAGTATAAGAAAAGTCAAATACAGCTTAAAATGTCTTTGATTGGGGTGAGAAACCTCATGGACCTTAAGCCCATTATATAACTACTATCATCCACTTCATTGCTTATCCAATGTAATGTGAGACTTTTTAAGACGTAATATTGTCATCAACCAACAATCTCCACCATGATTAAAATAAACACATATTCATTTTTATCTGCATTGCATACACTAGCAATCATCCATACTCCATCATCAAGATTATACTCACTTGAAATTAAATCATTCCAAGAATTTTCTTTCATTGCACACCTGCATCAATGCTAATCAATGTCGTGTATAAAGAACACGTCGTTGTATAACGTGGAAACTCCAATTTATCCATAAGCTCTAATACCACTCTGATGGGAAAAACGTCATAAAGAACATTACCATTTATCTTAAAGAATTACCCTACTAATAGAGAAATAAGAGAAAAACAATAAACATAAGAATATAACATGGAAACTCCAAAAATCGGAGAAAAACCACGATCGTTATCTAATGATAACCAGAGAATAACACTATGTGAAAATTTGTACAACACATAGACAACTCTCTCATGCCCTTGATCCCAAGTACACCTACACTCTCCAAAGCAAGAATTTAAACTAAACCTCACAACACTCTACTACAAGAGTATAAGAAAAATCAAATACAAGCTTCAAGTGTCTTTGACTGAGGTGAGAAACCTTATGGACCTTAAACTCATTATATAACTACTATCACTCACTCCATTGCTTATCCAATGTGATGTGGGACTTTTCAAAATTTAATATTTTCATCAACCCTATAAACTTTTCTCTCATTTTTTTACATTTCTTACCATTTTTCTCTTAATCCAAACAACTTCACTTTCAACTCTCTTTTTCTTCAAATCTATTCTTTTCTACTCCTTCAAATTCATCCTCTAATCTAAATAAACACTTAAATCAGACAACACCCTTTATCTCTCAAGTTCTGAATTTTCTAGAAAAAAAAAAATAGAAAACAATTTTTTCAACTCGGTTCGTTTATATTTTAATAAAATTACTAGAGAAGTTCATGAAGAAAGAAGGAAGAGAGCAAAAACCAGAGAAAGAGAAACAGAGAATAGAAACGATAAAGAGAATGAACGCACAATTATGTATAAAGAAAAAACACAATATATAGAGTAAAGGAAAGCAAGAAATAACAAAACAACTTAGTGGCAAAAGATCGAACAGGTGGCATGCGCTAAGCTAAATGAGTGACGATGTAGCAGAGAATAAATATTCATCATTCCCAATTTGGTACGTAGATTATTGAATATGGTAGGAGTAAGGGGTTGGTGAAAATATCAATTACTTGAAGGGCTAAAGAAACCGGAAAGAGCTTGATGATCCCTTTGTTGGTTTTGTCACGAACAATGTGGCAATCAATCTTCAGGTGTTTTGCTCGTTCATGGAAAACCTAGTTGGAGACAATGTGAATGACAGATTGATTGTCGCAATAGATAATGGTTATGTTTGTGAAAGGGATACAAAGTTCGTGTAGAATGTATGTAATCTACTAGATCTCACAAGTAGTAGAGGTATGAGCTCGATACTCAACTTTTGCGTAACTTATGGACACTATTTGTTATTTTTTGGACTTCCACGAGATAAGAGAATCACCAAAGTATATGGAAAATCCAGTAACCGACTTTCTAGTATTAGGGCATGAAGTCCAATCAGAGTCACTGTAAGCTCTCAAGTGGGATTTTGTGTTAACTTTGAAGAAGAGACCACTGCCGAGATTACCTTTGAGGTAGCAGAGAATGTTATTTGCAGCTTGTTGGTGAGAAATAGTAGGACAAGAAACAAACTAACTGAGATGATTGACAAAGAAGGTGATATTTGGTCTGGTGTTAGTGAGATAAATTAGACGACCAATGAGACGACAAAAGGAGGAAGCATCTTCTTTATTAAGGGATGCGTTATCTTTAATGGAATTGGTATGAGAAGAAGGCTGAGATGAATACCGACTAAACTTCTGACAACTTCAAGGCCTAAGAAATAGGTAAGGTTTCCAAGATTTTTTATATGAAATTTTTGATCATGCAGCATGGTGATGTTGTTGATTTTAGCTCATTGGTGCCTATCAAGACAATATCGTCAACATAAACAAGAAGGGCGGTAATGTGAGAATTTTCATGTTTAAGAAAAAGGGAATGATCAGATGAAGAACAAATGTAGTTGTGAGAAATAAAGAAGGAAGAAAGCTTCGCATACCACTGTCTTCCAACCTGTTTGAGGCCGTATAAAGAACGTTGTAACTTGCAGCAAACTTTGTTGGGGGCCAAGGGTAGACAAATCAGGTGGAGGTTACATATACACTTCTTCATGGAGATCACCATGAAGGAAAACATTGTTAACTCTAAGTTGTTTGAGGATCCACTTGTTTGAAGCAACAATAGCAAGAAATAAACGAAGGGTGGTAAGTTTGGCTACATGGGCAAACGTGTCTAGATAATCCAAGACTTCCAGTTGGGTGTATCTCTTGGCAATTAGACGGGCCTTGAAACGATCAACTGTGCTATCTGACTTGTGTTTTATTTTATATATCGATCTACAACCTATAGTTGTTTTGTCAGGAGGAAGGTTTATGAATATCCAAGTATGGTTGATATTTAAGGCTTGTAGCTCATCATCCATAGCTTTTATCTATTGGAAAAATTTAGAAGCCTCAGAGTAGTTGCGTGGTTCCATAAAACAGAAATGGACAAGATAGTGTGTTTAAAATTTGAGGATAAATTATCATATGAAATAAAGTTGTGTAAAGAATATCTTACTATAATGTTTGTGTGAAAGTCTTAGAGATAAGTGGATGCTTGTCTTGCACAGGTGGACCTTTTGAGAGGGATTTCAACAGTTGCAATGGATGAGATGGGATTATTCGATCTAGCAGGTGCCACATCAATTTCAATGGTCGAAGTGGCATCATCCAGTCCAATAGGAGTGTTTCCAGTGAGGTTAGTAGCATCATTGTCAATATCAACATTAGTAATATTCAAATCAGTATCAGTGATATCATTATAAGTGGGTATAAAATGTAAAAGAAATTGTCATAATTGGTGGTGTAATTACTAGGTATGGGTACAAAAAGACTGGCAGGATCATTATTTTTACTAGTGTTATAAGGAAAATGGTCTCATAAAATTTTTTAATCTATGGTTATGCAAATTTAAATATTGGTACCCTTTTGTGTGAACTTTGAAATCGAGAAAGACTCTAGGAACAATTCTGTTATAAGAAGTAAGAGTGTTAGAATAACATAGACATCCAAAAACACGTAAATATGACAAATCACACGAATTCTCATGTAGCTTTTCATAAGTGGTGTTATTATTCAAAATAGGTGTATGCATGTAGTTAATAAGGAAAGCTGGTGTTGAGCAACAAAAAACCCCAAAGATAAAAGAAAGATTTGATTGAAATAAAAGGGAGTGAATAATCTTTAAAAGATGTAGGTGCTTTCTTTCAACCACGTCATTATGTTCAGGTGTCTCAACACAAGTGGTTTGATTAATTATGCCTTTAAAAGAATAAAAATCATATATATTGAATTCAACTCCATTATCAATTCTAATATTTTTTTTTAATTTTGGTATTGAACTGGTTTTCAATATAAGTAACAAAATCAACAATCAATTTTTGAACAACAAATTTATTTGTTAGAGGTAATAACCATATATAACGAGAGAAATCATCAACTATGATGAGAAATATTTGTAACCACACATAGAAAGAATATTGCAAGGCCTCCAAACATCCATATGAACTAAGTTTTAGAAGTTGAGGATACACTAGTAGGAAAAATGTAACTTTCTTTGTTTGGCCAAATGACATATATCACAAATATGGGAAGTGTCAACAGAAACATAAGGATATTTATTCTTTAAAAGAATTAAGCGTTTACGAGAGCGATGTCCTAAGCGAGAGTGGCATAGGCTAATTTTCTTGACAGTACAATTTGAAGAATGCTTAACTTGAGAATCAGATTTGTTCATAGGAATGTTACAAACATATAAACCATCATGCAACTTAACTAAACCAATCTTCTCTTTCTTGTTGTTGTCCTGTATAAAACAATCATCAAGAGAAAGGTTAATTGACAATTAAGAAAGAGAACTAATTTAGAGATAGATATAAGGTTAAATGTGAATTGTGGCAGATAAAGAACATCAGTGAGATAAAGATGAGAATTAAAAATGACTTTAACCCTGTAATTGGAAGTGATAGAATTTCCATTAGGCAAACTTATGTGGATGGGGTTAATGTGTTTGGAAAATGTAAAATATTTTAAAGATGTGCATATATGATTTGTTGCTCCCGAATCTAGGATCCAGAAATTCTTATTCATGTTGAAATTAGATAAGGCTGATAGTACTAGTTGATGAATGAATAACTGAAACAGATTCATTTTGATTGGCTTGTGGTTAAGTGTTGTTTTGAGTTGCATGTTGGAAGATATCAACAAGAATATGATATTGTTAAGGGGTGAGACGAACATCAACTATTTCATTGTAGTTTTGATCTTTTCCAACACCATTGTCTTCTTATGTTGAAACATTGTTTACTTAAAATTGCTTGTTATTGAGAAATTTTTGACCCAGTGGATATCCATGTTTTTTATAACAAACCTTTATTATGTGTCCAGTTCTTCCACAATGAGTGTAGAGCTTTCTATTGTAAGTGTTTGTTGAATTTTTTATTTCTTGGTTAAGGAAACCATTCTTGTGGTAGCATACCATCTCAGTATAACTCAATTTCCCATAATAGGTGCAAGTTGTAGATCATGCAACGATATTATGGTTATTATTCTTTACAGTAGCAACTAGATTACTAATAAACCATTGTTTTTCTTGCTATATAACCAAAGAAAATATTTTGGTAATAATTGGAATAAGTTCCATAAGCAAAAAAATATGGGATTTGATATAGTTGTATTGATCGTTCAGGCCTCGAGGAACCACATAACTTGATTTTCTATTTTTCTTTGAGTTATGATATGAAGAACTTGACAGTTACAGGATTTGGACAAAATTTTTTTAACTCATCTCAAATAACTTTCAGCTTGATCTGAAACACTAAAGTCACATTGTACTAAGTAAGATTAAATATGCGAGCCAAGTTTCTTTAAGAGAATCTATTTTTAAGTCATTTCAGATATTCACCGCTTTGTCCATCCAGATTATGCTTTAGCGTATGATTTCGAAACTGAATGGACCAACCACAAGTTTCAAATAGAGAAATTTTTGTCTTCTTCAAATGGTTGATCAACAGTGTTAAGAACGAACTCAACCTTATTTTTTATTATGATCATTGACCTGCTCTATGGGTGATAGTTAAACAATAATGTCAAAAACAAACTCAACCTTGTCTTTTATACTCAAGATGATGATCATCGACATGTGATTCATGAATAATAGTTAAATTCTTCATTCTTTTATACTCAAGATGATGATCATTCATGAATAATAGTTAAATTATTCATGAATGATAGTTAAGAACTAGCGAAACAAAAATGAATTTTCTCATTTGAATGAAAATATAAAAGTTTGTCATTAAAGAAAAAAACATTAGTTGTCATTAAAAAAAAGGAAAAAAAAAAGAAACAGTCAAAATTATGCATAATTATTGAAAAAAGGAGGTCTGGTATTCAACAGAGCTTTTTTTTATACCATAACAAAATTGCCAGAAAAATTCATAAAAAAAACGAAAAAAAAAACAAAAAATGTGAAAAAGTAAACTTTATTATTTAAAAAATAAAATCAATGCACAATTATGTATGTGTAAAAGAAAACAATAAAAAGAAAACAATAAACAACATAACAACTTAAGGCAAGTTATTTATACAATAAGTAGAATTATTTATACATTTGAAAACTACCATGCATATCATAAGTACTTACTTAATTCCTTGGCCTATATTTTTATATGCAGATACATCAACCTCTACAAACCTAGCTACACGTAAAGATATGATCATAGACCACATAGCACATCATCACAGACATGATATTCTCAGAGGAGGGAATCAACTATGAGTCTGAATTCATCCAAGCTCACAGCTCCATCTCCATCTGAATCAAGAGAAGCAACAAGATGCATACAGTTCTCTAGGGACAAGTCTAGACCCAAGTTTTGCATGACCCCATGAAGCTCTTCCCCGGTCAGAATCTCGTTCCCATCTACATCCAAAGCTTCGTATGCTGTGCTGAGCGTGCTCGCGAGATTCCCACCGTCCAATTCCCTGGTGTTCATCTCCAAGAACTCGTGTATGCTTAGTAACCCATCTTTGTTCTTGTCACCTTCTTGCATCATTGCCCTCACTTCTTGCTCGCTAGCGTTGTACCCCAGTGACCCCAAGATTCCTCCTAGCTCTGCCTTCGTGATTCTCCCATCGTTGTCCGCGTCGAATGCTCTGAATGCCTCCACCAGGGAAAGAGCATGGTTCAGTGTCTCCATTTCGGAGCAGAGAGAACCCACTTGAGCCATGTTCAAGATTAGAGAGTGGTGTGGTGGTGCTCTGTGATTGTCTATTGCTTTTAGATTATAAATATTTAGAAGGAGGGACCAAGAATTTATGCTGTTCTTGCATTTTGTGACGGTGAAGATTATGGGAATAGGATCTGCTACGGCTGTAAAGTTTATTCGTTCTTATCTTTACCCTAGCTTTGAGAATGAAGTTTTGAAAGTTCTTTTAGTAATTACTAGTATTTGCAAACTTCGAATACCAACTCAGTCTCATTCATGGCTTTCAGGTTCTCCAGAAGAGAATATATATATATATATATATATATATATATATATATATATATATATATATATATATATATATATATATATATATATATATAAATAAAATGAAATACACTTCCGTACAAATAAAAATAGACTCTTAATTAATGTTTCTAGTACTGGTACTACTCTTCATAAATACGTTATTTCCAACTTTATTAAAACATTAACACAGTGTATTAATTGTAAAATTTAATTAATCCCTATATTTAACTTCAATATTTTAGAAAAAATGCTATACTCTAACTACTCAAACAAAAATTTGATTATACTTAACCATTATCTACTAATCTTATTGCATTTAACAAGTTATTTAAACAATTTACTAAAAAAATTTATAAATATGGGGAATAGTTTATAAAAGCCAGTTTTGAATTTTACGATTCTTATTAAAACATCTTTAATGAAAATTGTTTATTTAAAATATTTAAATAAAATAACTTCTTATGTAATATTTAAATTTTCTAATAATTGTTTATAAAAATAACAAATCAAAATAAATAAAAAAGAAAATAAATCTTTTAAAATGATGTAACATTTTTCTAAAAAAAAAAACCATTGTAAGAATTTGCTAGTGAGAGATGTTCTTAATTTATTGCAGCATATTTTAATAATAATAATAATAATAATAATAATAATAATAATAATAAGATCCTAATATTAAATTTAAGATATTGATTGTGATGTTCTCACAAGGAGAAAAATAAAATTAAAATGATGAGTTAAAGAAAACGACATGAATTTGGTTTGTTTGAGGTCCTTCAATTAATTTTTGCGGCTTTGCCTTGTGCAGCGGTACCTCCAAATGATTTCAGTTGTCATTTCCAAAAATAGATCGTCAAAATCACCACAAACACACCTTTTTCATATCATCACAAGATCATTTCTCAACAATCCAACAAAATTAAAGTCATACCTTCCATGTCCACTCACTCACAGAAATCAGCCTCTAGCTTCGGAAATAGGGCCAGAAGACTCTACACTACACTCTTTCTCACTCTTTTCTTCCATTTGGATCTGCACCTCTCTGCTGTTTCTGCACCAACCTTAACCATTCATCTTAATCTCATCCTTATTCAGATCAGATTTAAGAGGTAACAAAATTCTTTACCCTCTCAACACCTTGGTGCTAAAGTAGTCTTCCATGGGAGAAACGAAAATAAGAGTGACTGAACATGAAAAACAGGTGAAAAATAAATTGAAAATAAAAAAAATAAGCGAGTGAGGACAAATTTAACCAGATGTAGAATGAGAATAGAGTAATCTAGTAATAGAAAATATAATAAAAAATTAATAAGCTAATTATAAAGATCTTTGGTTGAAGAATAACAAGAAATATTTTATCACTATTATTAATATTATACAGAAAGGGACAAGAGAGATTATTAGTCAATAACACACAGAAAGGGACAAATGTAATATTTCCTCCATTTTGTTTCTACTTTTTTTTTCGAAAGGAGTGAAAAAGCAGATGAAAATAGAATTACTATAAATATTTTGTGAAAAACAAATTACTATAGTCTCATTCAACACTTAAATGATAAATTTTTCTTAATGAATACATCACCATCGTGAATATATTTAATACAATACGAGACGATCTTAATTAATGTGACAGAAGGTTCAATTCACAACCACATCTTCAAAATACAGTATTTAAATGTCAAACAAGAATCTAGTAATTATAAGCGCCTCTAAAGCAAAAAAAATTGCTTGATATTTAATCATTAGTTAATAGACTTATTGGTTCTTAACATATAAAGCCATATGAGACAAACCATCCGTTATTTTCCCTTTTGAAGCATGCACAGAGGAATAGGATTGACACAATTTCTATTAAACAAGTACAGCAATTTACAGTAGTAAACAAAGCCTCCGACTGAAATAGACACCCAAACTATTTGACGGACCAGTTCACAGTCCTTAAACCCATGTTTCCAATTCACTCAGAAGGAAGCATGGGAGATCCATCATTTCGAGGGGAGAAAGAAAAGGAAGGAAACCTAACCTAAAAACTGATGGGGAAAAAGTCACGTGATACTAGGACCTAGACTATGTTCCAAGAAGGAAACCCCAGACAGCTGATTAAACCTTAATCCCCCAACCCAATACACAAGGATAAAGGGTTAGATGAGCAAGTAGCAGCTGAAGCGAGGGTGGGATATATGCATCAGATCTAACTAATCCGAGACTGTCATTGACTAAAAAAACCAAGCATGGATTCACCAATACCAGCATCCTAGGGAACAGTAAAAAAAAAAAAAAAAAAACTAAAGCTACCGATCAAATCCCCTTCAAAAGGAGAAGAGGTACGGAAGGGGGCGGGGTCTCAAATCATACGTTTTGATCAAAAGCACAGGTTCCTCTCAAATCATACGTTTTGATCAAAAGCACAGGTTCCTATGGTTCTTCGTGGCAGACCCCAAACATGATTTCCCACATAAGTTCCCTTGACTCGACGATTCAAGCCGTGACGGCCTTCTGAGAATAACACAGGCAAAAAATCTCGGCTCGCGCACCTGAATACTTTTGGCTGGAAAATCCCAATCAGAGTATCTTTGCCCTGCAAAAGTGAAGAAACAATAAATATATTATAAAAAGTAAATACCATTAATGCAGACTCTCTTACTTAACCTTTAAAATGTATTACATAATCAGAGTCATTGTGAAAGAAATTTACATTCCCCCACCTTATCTAGGACTACATTCACAGTGCCATTGATTTAAACACACTAAACTTCCATAACATTTAAGAACAAAGAATAATAATCCTTCAAAATTCTATTACTTTCCCTCTGACATCCAAATATTAATCAGTCTCCCAAGAATGGTGGAGTGCAGAGTTGTGAAATAAGAGTCCCAGACGCCCCGGCTAACAGATTAATATGTTCATGTAACACAGTTTGTATCAGATGATTAAACAAACAAGACATTGCTAGTTTCCCATGATAAGACCTTGCTTGAAGCATCGGAAGACCCCCCTTCTACAAGTATCTTTGTTTAATCTTAAATAAAATTTCCATCTTCTCTTTTACTTGAGTCTGTGAATCCAAAAATATATACTCAGCACTTCTGCTAGAAAAACAAAATAACTCAATTTTTTATATTCCATATAGTTATTGTCTTCCTCCTCACTCCTCCTCACTCCGTAAGTATCACATCCTATACTCAGAAGCATTGTGGGTTCAAAACAGTGTACGACACTAACGTAAATACTGTTAACGAGCCCCACTATTATCAGGGTATATCAAAACAAAATTTTAAACAATAGAAATTATCAATCAAACCCCATTAGGTTAAAGAAATGACAATCCGTGAAACGACAACAATGAAACCTGATACTGGGCCACGTTGATTTCACATATCTTCTTGTTCTGGGCAACATCCCACTCGAGACCTTGGAACTGGCGGTAGAATCCAAAAGCAGCTTTAGGAGTGGTGAAGTTGACAAAAGCGTATCCCAAATTCGACACCCTTTTCTCAATCGCGTGTTTCCTGAAAACACAGATACACGCAAACATTAACCACATTAGAACCATAAGAAGCACAAAGTTCCAGAACCCTACCTATAATCCATTGGTAAATAAACGAAATCAAACTTGGACCATTCTTCAGGATCAACAATGCTCTTATTCTGTAGCAAACAATGCTCGTCCAGTATGTGCAGCAAGTCATTAAACCTAACAAGTTCCCAGACATAAATTTGATCAAAACTACACTCTCACACAGCACACACCTAAAAACGTTAAGGGAGAGAGAGCAGTTACCTGAATTGATTAGGAACATTACGAATCATGACGGTGGTGATCAAAGAGGTCTCGGCTTCTTTGACAGTGCTAGGAAACTGAATAACTGCCGCACGGTTTTCAAGAAGCTTCCTTCCTCTAACCCACGGTGAATAAAACTTGCGGTGGCAGCGCCAGTTTCCCTTTGCCCGCACTTTGCTTCGAACGGCGTGGGTTTTGGCATTGTCATGAGAAGGATTGGAGGTATGCGCGTGAAAGGAAGGGTAAAACCCGAAGGTGGAGAGAGGAACGTAGTAACAAATAGGATGAGGAAAAGACAATATTTGTTGGTATTCTTGGTTGGGTTTGAAATAAAAAGGTTGGGCGTTAGGATTGAGAGTGTGGTGAGAAAGCATGATGATGTTGAAATGGCGAGAATGATGTGCGGTTGAAGAGAAGGTGAATTTTAAAGGGAATAAAGTAATTATGAAGAGAAGAGGTTGTAGGGTTGTAGGGTATGGTATGGTGCGGTGTGTGGGATATGTAAATGTTAGAGTAATGATGAAAAGTGGAATTACGAGAAGGTTCTGCGTGTGACATTAAATGCTGGTTCTGTTTGAGGACGAACCCAACTCTTGTTCTTCTTCTGCCATTCTCTACTCTCTGCCGCCGGATGGTGACGATCAATCTGTACACTCACCTTCCACCCAAAGGCACGCTCTTCTGTTCTTATCTCAACTTGCTTTTCACAATATATAATAATGAAGACTGTTCAAATATTATTATTTTTCTTTCAAATATTACTATTTTTTTTAACGTTTAAAAACTAGAAAAATATTCATATTATTTTCATCAATATTTTATATATAATGATTAATTAAACTCTTCAAGATAAAATATATTGTTCTGTTACGAAGTCTCTCTTAATGTACACAAATGTACAGAATTTGTAGAAAAACATCTAATACAGCGTTCATTTTATAAAACAATAACTATTTCTTCCGTTGTTTCCCAGTAATTATTAACTATAATAATAAATGTATTTCTTTTTAAAATAGTTTTTTCAAAATATAACTTCGTTAACTCAATAAATATATCACTTTTAGTAAGATAAAAAACAAATAGTCTAGTTTGTTAAAAACAATATAGGAACACAGTAATAAAAACAATTATCTTTTTTAAAAGACACCCCATACATTTGTTAGTACAAAGGATCTCAATTTTTTTCCCAATTTAGTGTGATCTAGTCTTTATTCAAAAAATTGGATGTATGTATAACTTCAATAACTATATATAATATATAATATGATTATGGTAACAGAATTTTTTATTGTAATTACAAAAAATTATAATTTAACAAAAATAATTATTTTAATTTATATATTTAAAAATACAAAAAACATCTAAATTATATTTAGAAATATGACTAAAAACGTATTTCTTTTTTTTATATATATTTTTGTTTCTTTAATCATAAAAATTTAATACTTTTAAACCTAACTTTTTTTAAAAATAAATTTTAAAAATAAATTATATTAATTTTGTGTCAATTTTATATATATATATATATATATATATATATATATATATATATATATATATATATATATATATATATATATATATACATGCACGTGGTGCATGTGTTAGGGTTTACGTTTATATTTCATTTTTAAAAATATAGGTGCCTTAATAATTATATATGTCATGTATAATTACTTTTTTATTTTTTATTTTAAATATAAATTTTGATTAATTATATATTTTATGTTCTCTCGTGTATTGCTTATTTGAAATATATAAATTATAATATTTTAATGATATCACAATAAATATATATATATATATATATATATATATATATATATATATATTTCTTAAAAGAAAAAGTGGCAAATTATCGGCTCAAAAATAAAATAATGAGAGCAGAACTTTTATATTATTTATAGAATTTTTCTCTTATATAAGATGAAATAAATTAAAATGAAACATAATAAAATTGAAAAACCAATTTATTTATTTATTGAATGTCCAAAATTTTATACTTTTAATAAAGTTTAATCATTAATAGGAATTTTCTTAAAGAAATTATAAATTATAAAATATGTTGTTAATTTCTTTTCATATATAACAAATTTCTTATATAGAAATCAATAAGCTTTAATATATAATTGAAAGATGATATTTCGTATTGAAAGATGATTTCTTTCTTATCATCTACATCTCCATCCGGTTACTCATATTTTTTGTTATTAATTTTATCTTTCAGATTTTACTAATATATAATACACTTCCTAATAATTAATATTATATTATTATAATCTATTACATTATTTAAGTCTTCATATCTTATTCGTTATCAATCTTTTAAATTAATAAAGGTTTTAATTATAATAAATCTTCCTTGGTATATAGGTCAATAAAACGATTGTTTTTTCTCTTGTTCTTAAATCAAAAGATTTTTTGAATTTTAAATCATCAAATCATATATAATTAATCTATTATTTTAATTAAAACAAGATAAACATTAAGTATAAAATAAATTTATTAATAATTAATTATAGAATTAGTTTTTATTATATTATATCCTCTTAAAATATTCTTATGACAATGTATAAGAAGACCTCATACATAATCCAGTTATCAATAACTAAGTTAAACTCTATGAGATAACTTATATATAGGATTTTCAATGTTTCTTTTTAACTTCTTTTATTTTTGTTTAAAAATTTTTTATTGAAAAAAGAAAGAAAAAACACTTGAAACTAAAGATAACTTCAAAAGAATAAAAATTTATAATTTATTCTGTCCTATCTCCAAAAGAATTGGAATATTTATGTTCAATTATATCATTAATTTTTTCAATTAAAAGAATGAAAGTTTTGATCTATTGTATTCCAATCTCGACGGAAGAATAAAGAACGAACGAGGAATAGCCTAGAGCCGAATGGAATGGGTTAAAACTATTATTTATTTATTTTTAATAATTTATAGTAAAGTAGATCAATTTTTTTTATCATTTGAAAAATATTGAACTAAATAAGTTTAATTTTTAATTAGTTCAAATCACTTATCTCATTTATGTGTGGTTAAATAAAAATTGATATGTGAATTAAAGATATATAGGCTTTTCTTCGTCTATTTATATATAATTTAGTTATTATTTTATATATAATTCAATAGAAATGATTATATTTTTTTCTAAATCTCAATAAGAATAAGATATGAGATAAAATTATATATATATATATATATATATATATATATATATATATTATAACTTATATATTTTTTATTTTTTATATATAGGCAATGGAAACTTATTGATTAAATAATTGAAAACGATATGGGACATAGATCTATGAAAAACGGATAACCTTATTTGATAAAGTAAAAATAATTAATGATTTATTTTGAATTATATTTAAAAGAAATCATGATTTTTAGTATAATTTAGTCTTAGATCAATTTTTTTCTTATTAAAAATTTAAATAAAAATTAATAATAAAAAATATTTTTAAAATTTAAATTATATTAATAAAATTAATTTTTATTTAATTATTTAATATATAAATAATAAGAGAAGATTAATTAAATTTAAAAATGAGAGTTAAAATTTTATTTTTTATTATTATAATTTATTTTTTTAGTAATTGATTAATCTAAAGTAATAATTAATCATAGTTATTAAATATTAGAATAAGTGGTTCTTAGATACTTATTTTAATATTTATTTATAAGTTAATCTCTTATTAAATTAATTTATTATTAATATATATTATTAAAATAATATTATTTTAATTTTTATTTTAAAAATAATTATTATTTAATAAAATGGACCATCCGTAGGCCTATGAACTAATTTAACTTAAATTTATATAATTTATGAACAAACTAGTTGGAATCAAAATAAGTCTAAATTAATTTAATATACAATTTTATTTTGTTTACTTATGTGACCTATTTTTCTAATTTTTTAGATTGGTCTATTTGGTTAATTCTATTTTAACAATTTAATAAGACGTAAAAATAATGTTAATTTTAAAATAACTTGGACTATTTCATATAATTTTTTTATTAAAATTAAAATATTTATTTTTTAAAAGTATTAAATTATCAATAATATTTATATTTTAATTTATTCTTCATAAAACATTTTTTTATGGAAGTTAAGACATTTATTCTTTTAAAAATATTAAATTATTAATAATATTTGTATTCTAATTTATTTCTCATAAAACTGTAAAAAAAGTTTAAAAAATTTGTCATTTTCATTTATTTAAATTTATATTTTTATGTTTATTTTTGTATTTTTATGAGGTAAATTAAGAAAGTACAGTATCAAATGAATACATAAATTATCTTTTTAACTTTATTTGTATAGTCCGTTTATTTTATATTTAAAAATTTTAATTGATTAGTCAAATAATCTTTATCATTTAATTATAATATTATTAAATCTTTATTTATAATTTTTTTATTAATCTTTGAAACATTTAAATTATTTTCATCATATTTATTCATTAATAAAAAATTAATAAATATTGAAATAAAATAGGTACATTAGTTAAATAACATACAATGATTAAATATGATAGTTTGGAAAACATCTCACTAAGTAAAAATAAAGTTAATAATATTTTTGTTGAATATACAAGAGTACGATGCTGAAGATTTTGATGATGATTCAAGAATAAAAAACTTAAAGATTTGAAGACTTTTAATAATTTGTATTTACTTGTAATAATTCTGTTTTGTCTTTTTGAGTATGTAAAAATAGAGTTCAAAATAGTCATTTCATAGTCTATCCATTGAAGGTTCATTTTTTAACAAAACCACTCTGTGATAGGATAATCAATTATCCCACTTGAAAATTGTTTTGGAAAATTTGTTGGAATAATCGATTATCTCAGTGGATAATTAATTATCCTAGTTCAAAAATACTCCTCTGCGAAAATGGTTCTGTGATAATCGATTATCACTTTGGATAATCGATTACCTACGTCTGTTATGATTTTGAAATTCGAATTTTGGACCTATTTTCGATGCATCTATTCCCTATTTCGAAAATCCTATTCCCCATACCCTAAATCTTTTTATTTAAGGTTCTTTATGACTCTCTGAATAATACAACATTTTTCATACAAAAGTTAAGAATTGTGATTGCTAGAGAAATTTGTGTAGGGAAGAAAAAGGGGTTTTTGAAACCTAGTGTGGGCTAGAAACGATAAGAATCACTGAGTGGGTTTCTTCGTGGATTGTGTGTTGTGCCGTCTCTAAGAAAAACTATCGTTATCCTTTGTGGATTCATAGGAGGTGTTCATCTCTTGTGTGACTCAAGAAAGGTATTTTCTAATCCTTATCTTTTGTAATTTGTAATCTGTTTAAAACTGTTATTATAGTGACAACGTTAATACTCTTTTAGAGTGATTAACAACTGGACGTATGGTCTTTTGATCCGAACCAGTATAAATTACTTGTGTAATCTTCTTTCCCTTATCTCTTTACTTTACAAGCATTTTAATCGGTGAAATTTGGGAAAAAATTTTAAAACCTTAATTTTTTTTATAAGAACCCAATTCACCCTCCCCCTCTTGGTTTTTGTCCTATACACAAACTTTCCGCTGCGCAATACCAATAAGTGGTATCAGAGCTTGCTTTGATAGTTTTTCAAAATTTTCAAAAATGGCTGGACAAAACCAAACGTTTACTGAAGGTGCTTCTATTAATAGACCCCCACTTTTTGCTGGACAAAATTATCCGTTTAGGAAAGTAAGAATGCAAATATTTTTGGAGTCTGTTGACAGGGTTGTTTGGGATGTTGTAAATGGTCCTTTTATTCCTAAAATGATTGTAAATGAAGTAGAGGAACCAAAACTTTTTTTCTAGATGAACTGCAGAAGAAAATAGAAAAGCTCAATATGATGTTAGGGCAAGAAACATTATTTCATCTGCTTTGACCCTTGATGAGTTTTACAGGATATCTATTTGTAAAAGTGCTCAAGAGATGTGGGAAATACTAAGAGTAACACATGAAGGGACTGATGATGTTAAAAGAACATGAAAGAACTCATTAATTCAAGAATATGAGATGTTCCAAATACAACAAGGAGAAACAATCTTTGACGTCCAAAAATGTTTCACTCATATTGTAAATCATCTCACTGGACTTGGTAAGATTTTTTATACTGACAAGTTAAATGTAAACATTTTGAAATCTTTAAACAGGAAATGACAACCAAAGGTGACTGCTATCACGGAGTCACAAAATCTTGCTACTATGTCAATGATGACTCTCTTTGGAAAGTTGAGAGAGCATGAACTTGAACTTGGAAGACTAAATGATGAGGAACGCCAAAGTGTCAAGAGAAACATTGGCTTCAAAATCAAGGTTTCAAAAAGTAAAAATAAGAAGGAGGAAGAAGACTCAGAAAATGAGGAAGATGAAAACTTGAGTCTTATGATTAAGAAGTTTACAACATTTATGAAAGCAAAACGCAAGCAACCTTTCAAAGGTAAGGGAAAGTTAAAAGAACATTCTTCCTTAAGTTTCAAATGTTATGGTTGTGGTGAAACAACTCATTTGAAATTCGATTGTCCCAACTATAATAAATAGAGCGATGACTCAAAAGGAAGGAAGTCA